TGAATTCAAGGCAAATATCGGGATCATCGATCTTAAACCTGTGCAACTGCGCTAGATGTATATAGTGGCACCATTCGTGCAAAACTCAGCCTGCCTTGAACAAAGAAATACCGTGCCAAAGCCTTGAGGGACTCAAGGTGAAGATTCCAGTCTCCCTCTCTTGATGCGCGTATGAACAGCAGGATACACATCACAAACGTTATGTAGTCCTGTGCAAACTTGAGTTAGTAGTAACACGGAAACTCCATGACCTTTTCAAATCGCAAAAGCCTCTCTTGAAGCCCGTCGGTTTCCATTGCGATTAAAAAGTCTTTGAGTTGTGTTTCGTCCCTCGCTCACTTTGTCGACCTTGCTGGCAGATGATGTTCATGGCAAAAGATGCTAGTATTACACTTGTGTAATCGGCTTCGCTCGCCAAAAACGCCTCCATATGCAAATCACTTAGAGCAGAGTCTGTTATGATGTGAGGTCTGAGTACGCTTCATACGTTACCCTTCAAGAATCTATCGCATTGTATTTGAGCCATATCCCCGCCGCTATCCATTCTTCGTAAAAGCAACTGCCCTCGATTGATGCCCCAAGAGTGCGTTAAGAGGTCATCGTGCATGATCATGTGCATCTCGCCGATTCAGAAAACCAGGTCGTCTAAGTGTGGGACCTTCCTAAACGTAGTATACACCCATTTAATTTTAATTTAATTTTAATTTAATGCGGCAAATTGATAATAATAAATAAATAAAACTCCATAATCTTGGGGTTTTTTCCAGATAAATTGCATACACAGTAGTAGTCGTCAGGTAAATATGCCTTCGCACACTAAAATCAAATAAGAGAGGAAGAATAACCTGAAAACATGCTTTTTCTAGCTGGACTCAGACAGGATTATACCATATATTTTCTGGTGTTTAAAAATCGGCAGAGAACAGAAAGAGAACTTTAAAAAGCTGGAGAATTGGACTCGTAAATTCAAAGGGGATTCATTAAAAGATGTAGTAAATATCTGGAGAAAAGAAGAGACGTTTCTGAAATGACAATCCGTGTATCTTGCTTTAAATATGTGGTCCATTCGTTCATTCCTTGAAACAGTCAAAATGTGATGTAAACTGCAGTTGTAAAGGCATTATTATATTTGATTCACAAATTCGCTAATCAAACTGAAGGCATTTTGTTGTCATTCATCAGCTATATAATGACGTCATATCTAATTTGCATAAAACAGGCCTAAATGGCTCTGGAAAAATTGCAGACAACTTTTTTTCGATTCAGCACCATTTAAACTGTAAGTTTCTGCAAAGAAACTTCAATGTTCATAAAATGCCCACGAGAACGATTTTTCGGACACATGGCCCTGGACTACAATGTCAACGTAAATTAAGTCGTCGTACGGACGATTTTCTCAACTGATCCAAAAACCAAATTTTCCTACCAATTTTGCTCCTCTTTAAAAATGCTAAAGCTAAAGCTTGGGCATTGATTGGATTGAGTCTTCTATGAGGTGGGACACTCAGGCCCGTTTCAAACTTCGTGCTACTACCGTGCCGAACTCAATTGATCGAATTAAATTCGACTTTAGCACGGCAATCCTTGCGGTGCTACACGGCTTTAGCTTGACTTGGTTTCAAACATCGTGCTACTGCCGTGCCGAACCAAGAGCCATAATGTCCCATTATGGCTCTTGACCGAACTCAAGTCATAAATTATAAATACATCAGAATACATTTAAAAGTTTGCTAAACCGTCTCTTTATTTTTGTGTTTTGTTTTCGACAACCACCGTTCTATTCGACTGGATTAAATTCAAATTCGACGTCTAAAAACCAAGTCGTACTAGTGTCAGGCTGCAGTCGAGCTACAGTCGAGCCAGCTTAGCACGGCAGTAGCACGACGTTTGAAACATATCAATTACATTGTGGGCAAGGCAAATCAGAGGTTGGGTCTAATAAGGAGAATTTTGGGTCCGAGAAAAGATCCTGTGGCAATAAAAACGGCTTGTTTTAGTTCTTTCTATTCTTGAATCGGCCTGCCCAGTGTGAAACCCATATTTGGTAACAAAACTATCCTCCAACGCAGACATTCTTTGCGGCGCGTAACGAAACCCTAAGAACGTCTGCGTGGGAGGCTATATATAACATAACGGCTTGTAAACGGTATTTGAATCCATTCCGGCGTCGTCGTGATACTCTATTGATATGTGGATCTGATAAATCTTTCTCTGAAAGGTTCACTGAACTAGACTGGTCAACATTGGAGCCCAGAAGAAAATATCTTTGCTCGGTTCAACTTAACAAGATAATTCATGGCTATTCTGAGATGGAATATACCACATATGTGAACCTGACTGGTCCGACAGAAACTAGATCAGAAGTAACCATGAAATTAAAATCAGGCCTAGAGCAGCAAGAACAAACTGTTTTAAATTTTCATTTTTAACCGTTACATTAATGACTGGACCTCTTACCCTAATCCTGTTATGTCAGCTTCCAGTTTGAACCCTTTTAAAACTCGACTACTTTGTAATCTTTGTAATTAGTTAGTTTTCATTCCTTACCATATTTGGGTTATACTTTTTTTCTCAATTATTTAATTAGTTCCTCTAGTTTCTTTTTTTCTTACACAATGTACAGTATTCTATTAAATATCCTATTTTTAATTGTGTTATTTTTTAGTTTTGGAGAGCAGTTTTTATATGGGAATATTCAGTTTTCCCCTGTAGCTTTTCTCTTACCTATCGTACTTTTATATATTATAATTCTTATGACGATGATTGTTATAAGTAGTTTTAGTATAGCTTTGTACTGTGGTAAAAAGCACCATTAGACTTAAACTTAAACTTTAGAATCCCACATCCAAAAATCGCAAATTCGCGTATCCCCTTTACATTCATAATCTCCAGTTCTTCTTGTTTAATCCCAAACTGTGAAAAATCTGTTGGTGTCTATCGTGTTTTAGGCTTAGTGTGGGTGCAAATATAAATATCAGTGTTTTTTTTATAATTTTTTTCTTTGTATAAAACGCCATGCATATCTAAAACCAGAGAAAACAAAAGGAAAATAAAAAGAAAGGAAGAAAAAGAAAACAAAACCAGCATAAAATTTGAACCACATTATACACTTGAGTGTTTTAGGTTTAGTGCATATGGGTGCAAATATAAATATCAGTGATTTTTTAATTATATTCTTTGTTTCAAACGTCGTGCATATCCAAAAACAGAGAAGACAAAAGGAAAATAAATAGAGAGGAAGAAAAAAACAAAACAAAACCAGAATAAAATTTGAATCACATTGTACACTAAAGTTAATTAGTCGACTGTGTTATGCCATACTACAACCGTAATAGTTTAATAGTGAATAAAAAATGATAACAATAACCAAATAAGGTAATGCACAAGAAACTAGCTGACCAATGGGATGTACCAAGGATGAAACAGACTTTCCGAGAAGTCATCTTCCAAGAACATCTGCGTTTTGTCTGTGATCAAAGCAGATAGTGTCTGCATGCAAAAAACATGGCCCTGTAAATTGTCGAGGTGTGAAGATTTGCCGCCTTCAGTGTACTGAAATACAAGGACGTAAGGTTGACGTAAGGTGAGTATTTGTTTATCTGAGAAGAATTGATTCAGCCAGGGTCTATCGATTTTCAGAATTGATATTTTTTGTAACTCTTCTAGAAATTGACAAGCTTATGTTGATAAGGCGTAAATGTAAAAGATTCCACTTATACTTCGCCAATATAGCACTACAGCTCACGTAAATCGAGCGAGCGGCCGATACAACTCTTTCATTTTAATACGCATGAGAGAAAGCTGCTGCATTAAACAAATGCATCTTATTACATCTCTTTTATTTGTATGTATATTTGGAAGAAATCGACCATTAATGAAAAAGTTTGTTCCTAGCATTATTTCTCTGTTTTTCTTTCCGTTTTTTATACATAAGTAACGACACTAGTGACCGATATGAAAACGCGTGTTTGAAAAATGACTTAGATATCAGAAAAAAAGTTCGCTTCTTATTTTAAGGATGTTAAAGAAAGGCAATACAAAGGATACAATTTATCTTGTGCAGAGAATTTGAAAGCACAGTTTCCTATATCTTTTTCTATTTCTCTCAGCTCCCACACCTCTTTTTCTCAGACCATACTTACATCTCATCCCTTTCATGAGTCGCAAATGTAATGGTAAATCTTACTTAAACTGTGTTAGGGGATATTTTTAAAATTAACTGAAAAGGAAAATCAAATTTTTAACCTGCTGTTGTAGTGGCAAGCATTCATAATCGTCCCGAAGTCCCGTGTTAGGGATTCCGGAATGCGGAAACCCTTTACTTGTGGAATTCGGAATATCTGGGAAAATCTTGCTTGTGGAATCCGGAATCCTGGGCTTTGGGAAACGAAATACAGCTCAAGGAATCCAAAATCTCGCAAACAATTAGAATCCCGAATTCAATAAGTTCCACTGTTAAAGACTGGAATCATGTAAATCCGTGGAGTGGAATCTAGAATCCAAGAATGTCTTTTATTCCCTTACATGACACGAAGAATAAGATGACGTGTTCTAAGAGAAGGCTAGATATCAGACGCCTATCATTTACTAAATGGTAATATGGTAATACTAATACGGTAGTATTACCACATGCAGATGGTAATCTGCATGTAAAAGATTAATGTGCAGCTGTCGACGATCTGTCTCACAAATATATGTGAAATTTTGCATTTTTATATAAACTTGTCTTTTCCTATGCCGCTTGTAAACATACATTTTCAAGAGAAATCAAACGTGACCCTTACACTACAGATTATGACAAAATAATTTATATAAATTGACAATTGATCTGGCAATAAGATTAAGAAATTTCTTTACAGTAAATATAAACGGTAGTCGCTAATAAGTATAATTCACAATGCTTATCACCTCTGTCTGTGTTTTATTCTTGATTTAACTACGATGGCCCTAGAAAAAACGGTCTGTCTCATCCATTTTCAGAATTCTATTGAGGTATTAAAATGCCACAAGACAGCACTGGTTTGGCATTTTCTGGTGGTGGCATCAGGTCAGCGGCCTTTTGCTCCGGAGTCCTGCGCAGTCTACTTAAGAGCAGAGTTGAAGTGGATTATTTGAGTTGCGTGTCAGGGGGTGGCTACACAGGCACTGCTTACCTGGACTGGAAATATCGCGAAAAAAAGAAAGATAAAACGAGAGAAGGCGAGGGCGAAACAGACTGGCACGAGGAGTTTTTTAACCATATGAAAGACAGATCAGGATACATTTGTGACTGGACTGGCTTTTGGAAAGGCGTCTTCGACACATTTTTCTTCGTGAGCCTCATTACTATAGTACTACTCGTCCATCCAGTAATTCAGTGGGGAGCGTATGCATTTCCAGTAGCGGTTATGATTGATCTCTTCGGGATTGGAAATTTAATGCGAAAGGCAGCTGACTGCGATGCCGCTTTTGAGAGACAGAGAGAAATGAATGAGTCTGCAGTGCCTGGCAAAGACGTCATCGATCGTTGTCTAAATAGAAGTCCCAAACGTGATATCGCTATTCTTTTTTCTGTGCTGTTTGTTTGTTTTGTTGTCCTTTATGCTGTCAACTCATCAGCCAAAAAGTTCTTCTTTAAACACCCTTGTTTAAGAAGCGTTCTGCTTCTGTTTGAATACTCTACTGGAAGTGTGTTGATATTCACGTTTATCCCTTTTACAATATACGACTTTTTTGTGAAGATCCCAGTCTGGACACAGGTTATGGTTGGAATCCTTGCAGTGATTGTATGGGTTACAATTCCTTTCCTGCGGAGAAAGACCTCTTATGTCCTGATAGTCTATGTGTATTCTTTTGTCATATATTGGAAGGTATTTAGAGTTGACTTGCCAGTATTCTTTATCAAACACGAAGATCGTCATTTTCATTGGCTTCTGTTTGCCTCTGGAGTTGCCTTGGTGATTTCTCCCTTCACGACAACTTTAAAAGAGAAGCTTGTGTTTGTCTACAATAGGTAAGAAAAGTTGTTCGCTTGATTAGTGGAAATATTTATGCGAGCCCGTCAAGATAAATTGCAATGTACCTCTTTGATCAATTTCGATCTTCTTGCGGTTAAAATCATCTATAACAATGTTCAATAAAAATATTTTTAAAAATTATGTGAATGAAGAATCTGCAAATAAAAAAATGGGCACACAGACACACTTGTAAACCAGCCGGGGAACTCACTGCTTGAGACATCTGTCTTAACAAACTGACCTTGTTTTGACATTCCGCTTTCAAAATCCATTTCCATAAGCGTCGAGCTCCATTTGCGAAAGGGAAGCTTCCACTGTCTATAAATTTAGGCAAGGCTAAAAGTGGAGCTCCCATCGTTTTATTCAATACAAACAATTTGTTTTTCCAAACAAATTACAAATCATACAAATAACACACAAAAAAAGCTTAACTCATAGTGGTACGTACAACCATCCGAGAATGAAAGGTTAAAGTTGAAGTTTGATATGACTGCCATGATATTCACATTGGCTTAAATAGTGGATCCGATTTTCACTTTACAGGTGGAGGTTACAAAAAGCGTTTTATCACGAAAACAGCACCAGACTATACGGATGTTTAGGCATTTGTCCTCAATGGTTATGCTGCTTATGCAACTCGAAAAATGAGACGAGGCCCCTGACCTTAGCAGATCTGAAAGACATGAAGCCCGAGTATATATCCAACATTGTTGTGAACCGTTGGAAGAACAACGAGAAAGACAAAACGAACTATACCCTGTTAACTATGTCACCCTCTGGTATACAGCGTTTTGACCAGAGTGGAAAAGGACAGTTCGAAGGCAAACTGGAACCAGAAGACATCATGTTGTCAGAGGCCATGGCGATATCTGCAGCAGCACTTTCCAAACACATGGGAAAATATGAAGAATCTATTGAAGGATTGACTCGTCTTCACACAATTCTTGGACTTGAAATGGGGTCCACAAAGATAAGTGATTCAAAACACCGAAAACAAAGTTGCGCATTTAAGAAGGTAATACTCGTATTAAACATGTTTTCTCGATGAATTTCTCGTACGTTGTGAAATCGATCAGTTGTGGCAATTTAACAGTGCTTCGCCTGAAATATATATATATAGAATAACTGGTGTTGGTGTTGGTGTTGCGAACGGCAGACGTTTTTCCTTGCTCATCGCTGCTGAGAGACGTTTCGCAAACTTCAGCGAACCCAGCAGGCGATAAGCGAGGAGAAACGTCTGTCGTTCGCAGGCTAGGTGTTGGAAAGTGGCGTACCCGCACAAGAACAACCAACGGAGAAAGCTTCCGCTTTTCGAAGTGGTCTGAAAAACGTGCCGTTTTTACGTTTCATTTTCCTCTGCATGCACTTTATTTTGTTTCTAAAACAGTACCTTATTCGTTGAAACCATGCGTAATGGGCCATGGAAATCCGCCGGCCTCCTCTAACTCTTGCTATTTGCAGGCGGAGATGGCAAAACGATGAGTATAAAAAGAAAGTATATATATATGGTTGTTTGTATTAAAGAGGTTTTGATGATGAAAGAAATGATTGAGTGTTTTTAACGTTTTGTTCGAATGTGGTTGCAGATGGTCATATCAAGCGGGCACGTAAATGGTCATCACGTTGATAATCATCTTCCTTGATAATTGTCTTCGCAACTTTCGAGCATTTATCGTACCGTTGAACCTCTCTAATACGGACACCGAAGGGACAGTGAAGTGTCCGTATAAAAGTGGTCACTGTGATGACGTCACTTTTAAGACTGTACTTACAGTTTGAAGTGTTCAGTAGCTAAAACCAGGTCCACACTGGTCTTTAAACTGCATTTAAAGTTATTAATTCACAGTACAAAGACACTGTCTTTCAGTAGCATAGAGCATTGTACATCTGAGCTACAGACAAATCACTGGTCTAAAACGAAACGAGCAACAGCGCAAAGCTGCATGGAAAAAGTTGTAACGTAAAGCACAATTCTGAAAGTGTCTTTCGCTATTTTGCAAGTGATGTAAACAGTAAATAGAGTACAAACTGTAATAGAAAAGATCTTAATGCTATCTGTAGTTATTGAAGCCTTTAAAAAGTCGGTTATGTTCCTTTGTACACCTTTCGCAAATAGTTGTTTGGTATAAAGCGACTGGGCTTCATATCATCATGCACAGATCATTAACCAGCCTAGACGGCATTCACCCTGTGCAGATCACCTGATCGAGATTCGGGATTCACCTGAGCACCGCAGTGTCCGTAATAAAGAGAATAAGTTCACATGAATTTACTCTCTGGGGCCGAGATTTAGTGTCCGTTGTCCGTATTAGAAAGAGTCCGTATTACCGAGGTTTTTTTTTAAAATATATGAGAATTTTGTCGGGACATTGGAAACTGTCCATAATAGAAAGGTGTCCGTACCGAGAGGTTCGACTGTAGTTAGAAATGAGGTCATTTTTTAAACCTATCAATCATTGTTCTCATCACCTTCATCATCATCAACAACAACTTCATCTGAATTCAATAAGTATTCACCTGTTAACCTTACTGTCGTTCTGGTCAGCAAAACCTTCCTTATAAGCTTCTTTACTATCCTTTTTGTCCTTTTTATAACTTTACAGATGAAGGAGCTCGTTACATACATTTTAAGTGGAATTCCCTTAACAATCCCCTCGATCTTTTACTATCATGATCATAACCATTATGAATTATCACTTGTGTGTTCCGTGGGAATCTTCTTTGGAATACACGTCATGCTGGCTGTCATCGCAGTCCTTGATTCAGGGTGTGAAAAAAATCCCATCAAAGTTCACAGTTCAGAAGTGGAAGAACAAATAGAAAAGGGAGGAGAAAATGTCGTGCTAGTTCCTGATTTAGGAGTGGAAGAGCGCAGAGAAACTGCCACGACAGTTCCTGATCAAGGGGCGGAAGCTCAAAAAGAAGGATATGAAGAAACTGTCGTACCAGCTTCTGATTTAGGAGTGGAAGAAACAATTGAAAAATGCGGAGAATCTGCCATGCCAGTTCCTGGGTCAGAAGGTCAAGAGGAAGGGTGTGAAGAAACTGTTATTGCGAGGCCTGGGTTACGTCAGGAGGAACAGAAACGAAACGAAACTGTCATCCAGGTTCCTGATTCAGTGGTGGAGGAAACGGCCACGCCAGGTCCTGTCTCAGATGAGAACAAAGAACAGAATGAAGGGTGTCCGGAAAGTGATATTCCAATTCCTGATTTAGAAGTGCAAGAACCAGGATTCTGTGAAAAAATTGTCAGGTGAGAGAATTGTTTCTGTCCGTCAGGATGACCTGTTTCTGCTATTTGATAATAAACTGCTTGTTTCGGTTTCCCCCTGCAGTTTGGTTACAGTGGGTAAGTTTTTTCCTAGCTGTTGCTAAAACATTGATGTCAGCCATATTGTACACGGGCACTATGTAAGCGCCGAATGAATGTGGGCAAAAGAACAGGCTTCAGTTAGTTCTAATATAAGACGCAGTTAAGGAATTCCATTTGTTTCCATTTTCATTAATACTCGAGGCAAAAATGAACTATCATCATTATCATCATCATCATCATCATCATCATCATTCATCATCATCATCATCCAGCCATTATCAATATTTTCTGAGGGAGGGGAGCATACAAGATTTGTTTTGAAAAACCAACTATCCATCGCTGGCTCTTTTCAGGTGGTTTACTGTGCACAATTCTTTCGTCTACAATCTGAGATTATTATTCTCCAAGGACACCATTGGACCAATTCCACCAGCAGTCTTGCTACTCAGCGACGGTGGTCATTACCAAAATCTGGCCGTTTTGCCACTATTGCAAAGGAAAGTGAAAAGGATTGTTGTTGTGGACGGAGGACATAAAGACAAAGAGGATAAATACGGAGACAGTATTCTTGATGCACTGAAGATTGCTCGTACACAGCTGAACTGCTCATTTTATAATGAAGATGGCAAAGATGTCATTGCAGACCTGATGCGATCGTTTGTGAACCCTCAAAAACGGAAGAAACCACATTGTTACAAGTATGTACTCTCCGCTTTATCATACCTTTTCTATAGTTTGGATAGAACTCTTTCGGCAATGACGTTTCTCGTTCTAATAAAAATCTAACCTTTTCACTCCTATAAAGTGGGCAAAGTCAAATACAACAAAATTTTCTAAATATGATAAAAAACAGATGGCACCTTGTGAAAGTAATGCCGAAGAGGTTTCATTTGCATGAATGGAAGTCGCTATTCATTCTGGGAGTGAAAGTGTTACTAGACTGTAAGTTCTTAGACTATTTTTAAGTAAACAGGAAGTTTATGCCTCTTAGCGGGTGGGACGTAAGAACGGGCGGGTGCCGAACATTTTTTTTTTCAGCAAAGAGGACGTTCAGGAGGGTAAAAACGGGTCTACCTTAAAACAGTCAAATTCTTTTAAACGTCTCATGCATTGATCGCTAATAACTTTGTCCCCTGAAATTTTTGCGGTGATGATTTCAAGTCATCAATGGCGGCAATGAATCATGAGTGCATGCTTGAAAAAGTTAAATTGCAATTCCATGTTTACTCACATACTTTGCAATCATTAAAGCGCAAGCAAAATATGCAGCTGATCATCAGGTTGCGGGCTTATAACGGCAGACATAACAGCAAAGGAGTTACAGCTCGTGCTTGTACTTACTTTTTTCGTATCTTTTGATTAAGAACGATTAATACCTTAATTTGTTTTTAGATTGAACAGTGTTTACCATGCTATATCAAGACCGATCACAGTTAACCCTGTAAAAATGTTTTTATACAGATTTAAAGTCCACTATGATACAGAAAATGAAGATGGAGAAATCATTCTTCTGGTTCCAAGGAAACCCGAGGATATTCTGAGCAAAGAAAAAAACAAGGAATTAACTTTCTGCTGCTGCGAGTGTTGTCATAGCAAATCAAGTTTATGTGCTAGTTTGTCTAAGTGCCTTTGTAACGCGTTCCCCCAACATAACACTGTCAATCAATTCTTCACACCCCGGATGTTTGAGGCTTATCACGAGGAGGGACGCCGGGCCTGCGAAGAGGCTAAAGCTGATGAGTTTTTGAAAACTCTTTGCCCTGCAAACATTTCAGACAGTTTGGGAGAACCAACTAGACATGCCCTCCAGCCTCTGGCTGGCGCAGGCAGCTCTAAGGATAACGTCTCGTTTCTTTCTTTCTGAAACAACAAAAAAGTCTCTTTATTATACCTTAATTTATCCTTATTTAACATATTGTACCACAGTTTGGTCCTCCACTTATGTAACAAACCTTAATAGAATTTTTCTTCTACAAAAGCGAGCAGTACGAATTATTACAAATGCAGATTTTCGCGCGCACTCTGAACCATTATTTTTCCGTTTAAAGATTTTGGACATATACAACATTAATTCATTCTATACTGCACAATTTATGTTTTCATATTATCTTCAATTACTGCCACCGCTTTTTTCGAACCTTTTTGTTACTAGTAGCAATATTCATAATTATAATACTAGAAGTTCCTCGCATTTCCGTTCTCATGCCTGCCGAACTAACACCAAACAATTTTCTATTTTGTTCCAAGGCCCTAAAATTTGGAATTCTTTACCAAACTCAGTCACTTCGATTTTTACATTGCAATCGTTTAAAACGAAAGTTTTTGATTTTCTACTATATCGATAATGCGTCTTGTACTGTCCGTTGTTGTGTGTTGTTATAGTTCTATTGCTTAATATTATTGTAACGAGGGGGCCTCCTCGTACAAGCCTTGTGGTTTTCTGAGGTCCCCTCGCCACATCTTTGTATAATGTAATGCTTGTGTAATCTTTATTGTGGGAAAATAATAAATAAATAAATAAATAAATAAATAAATTCCATGCAATATCCGAGATTAAGACTGAATAAGGGAGAAAGGATCAAGACCAAGACTTCATGTTTCCGCGGAGATGCCATACACCCAACATATACAATGTGAGACTGAGGTTAATGTGTATAAAGAGAAGAGGACGAATCATTGTACTATAAGGATACTGCTAGTTAGACATTTACTGACATAGAGAGAACCGTTCACAAAACACTTTTTTCTTACGAAAATCCAAACACGATTTGAGCCAGGTAAAAGAAGCGTTTCTAAACTATAGCAATTAAGATCAATAAGATTAAAGGATAGAATGTCAGAAAACGTTAACGTTGCATTTATCGATATTGAAAGGCTGGCTGTCAACAGGTTCTGGCCAGGCCCTGGCAGTTAAGTGAAGCGCTCGAAATGCTTAATAATCAGTGGTAGTTATACGTTTCGTTAAAGTTATAGAATTGATCGTAAACGATTCCCTTAAAGACTTCCGCTGCAATACGAATTTTGGAGGTTGGACGAAGTTATTCAAGTAGGAACGTACTACCTACTTTAATTGTGGATATACTTTAGGGCATTTCGGGTCTTCAAGAAAAATGCCAGCATGTTACAACAGAACGATTGAAAATACAACAAAAGAAGCGATAAGGTCAGGGCATTCACGAAGAAGTCGCGCAGAGATCTTGTCGAGACCGGTGCTTTTGATTTGCATATTATATAAAAAAAAATAAATTAAAGCTTTGGAAGGTGTAGTTGCTTTAGATCAAATCAGTCTATGTTTGACCTCCTCAATGCAATCGAAATTCGAAGGTCCATTTTTCTTTTCTCTTTGACTTATCCAAAACGATATGGAAAGCGAAAAAAGTAACAAAAGATAGGTTTTAAGGTCTATTTCCTCAGCGACATCAGCATAGCAGATCATCACAAAAATAAATTAATATTTAAAAGAATAATTCGAATCAACAAGGGCTGCATTTTTCCAGGACTATGGCACATAGTGTTATTTGTACTCTAAACTCCGGCGTTTATTCAGGCCCACGCTTATTCGTGTACGTAAATTCTATTATCGGACGTACCGCGAAAAGGGTAACAGAATTATTAAATTTTTTGCGTGCCATATATGGTGGTGGATTCCTACCAATTCCTACAGATTCCTACAGTGACGTCACATTTTCCTACAAGTCATCAGGGACCTGGTTACCAAGGTCTATTTTGCTGGCAGCGGAGAACATCATGGCGGACGGCGGCTTCGACTCTTCTGCTTCTTCTTCCACCGCTTCGGAGACGAGGATGTCGACTGATAACGTTCCTGTTGACAACTGTGATGTAAGTTATTGCAGATATATGTTTTATTCGACCTTCTTTTAAGCGGATCTTGAGATCACGCGTCCAATCTTAGCTCACTTTCTCGCGTGTTCTTTGACTTTTGAAAGGAGCACCGCTCTCTTCGATGCATAAATTCTTGCGTTGGAAGAGCATATTTTACCGCTCAGCCGCCACTCTCAACATTTTTTTTAAATGGCTTTCAATTTTTGATTTAGATCAAACTTTTTTATCAAAATTTCTCATCCAAATTATCAAAATTTCACACCTCAAGACGGGTCATCTTTTAGCGTGCCTGAGATTCTAAGACTCTTTTGTTAAAGCCGAGATTTTTAGACTCAGTGATATTTTCCCAGTAGCATCATTTTCATCCCGTAAATTAATTCCAAGCTAATTTGTAAAGGGCATTTGTTATCAAAGGTCTTCCCAGGAGTGGGTAACTGGTCACTTTTCTACCACATTAAAAGATATTTATGGCATCTAAGAGGCATAGGACATACATGTATTTCAGCTCAAGGTTGCTTAAGGAAGATATCTATGTTGGCGTCTTTCGGCCAGCAGAAATTGTATGCACTTCACAGCAACAGAGGAGAAGAGTAACCTACAGTAGAATCCCCTTTTTTGAACCTCTTGGGAAAAAGAGAATTGGTTTGAATTATAGGGAGGTTGGAAAAATCCAGGGTAAAGTTACAGTGTTGGATTGGGGAAGAGAATCAATTTTAGCTTGAATTATTGGGAGGTTTGTGAATCCAAGGGTTTGAGAAATTTAGATTCTACTGCATATACATGTAGTCAAGTTGTGCAGAGAATTGTTTTTGAAGATAAATATATTGCCACGTTGGAAGGGTTTTTAAGAAAATCTGCTTTTTCCTTTCCGATCGGTAAAAGTTGGAAAGGTTAAGAATTCATTGTGAAGTATCGACAGAAATTATACGGTTTTAGATTTTTTTTCAGTGCGTTGTTGCTATTTAGTGTTCCAAGCTGCAAGTTAACGTCGCTGCAAGCTGCAACCATTTTGATTGGCATGGCAATTATAAAAATGTTTTTTTTCGAATGGAACTGCAGCAAAAGCTACCAATTTTGCTACCTGTGTCCTTGTTTTGTGGGTATTAAACCCTCATAAAATGTGTGTGAAAAGTGCCTCAACCAAGAATTTATTTGTAGTGAAAATTTGATATTCCTTAGTCACTGAAAGGTGACTTTGAAATGAGTTGAGCTAGTAGCCCTGAACTAGGGGAAACTGACAATTTAAAAAAGCACAAGTGTTCAATTTTCATTGGCCAAACCATTAGGGTTTGGTAGTTAGTTTTAGTGCTCGTCTTAGTAATGGTAGCGATACAATGTTTCTGTGCTCTTTCCATTACTATTGGGCTCCCCCACCACCTAAAATGTATTGGCACAGCCACTTGTTGAAAGCCACCAAAACCTGTGAGCTGTGTTTGCAAGTAATAAGTTATTTTTCTTCATTTACCGACTGCTTTTGTTTGCACTTTTTAGAATTCATCAGAAGAATCTCAATCTGACCAAGAACAAGAGGTAAGGTGGACACATACACGGTACCATGGACTTCATTTTCCTTTAAAACTTACAATGAACCTTGCACCTTGTTCTTTAGGGTAAGATTTTAGTCATTAGTAGATTTCAGTATGCATCTTGGAAAGAAAGTGTTGCCCAGCTTCACTAGGTGGCCATTGTTATAGTTAAATGCAGAATAGCAGGCCATTTTGATACTATTAACCTTTTGTGTGTCATCGCTTTCTTTGAGAAGTGTACTTCTTGTAGCATAGATGTTGCAGGTTAAACCAGAATTTCCTTTGTCTCCAGCCAATGAATAAGTTACTATTAGAGCTAGGAAACAAAGGAAAAAAAATGTCACTTCTGTTGTGGGTCATTATTTTCTGGGGGTCCCTACTTTCGGGATTTCCTAACACCTTTGAAATTATATCGCTACTTTTGAAGGGTCGCTACTTTTGGGGAGGGTTGTTACTTTCAGAACTCTACGGTAGTATCTACTTTGCTTCTGATAGCAAGCGGCACTGCTATAACTACAATATTACCGTTTTTATCGGCGAACGTTGTTACCTGCATGTATTGTAATGAGGCTTTAATAAGATAAGATAGTACATGTACATAAGAATATTATCATGTGAGAGATAATAACAAATTGTAAAAAATTATTTTTCGCATTTTGCTTTTAGTGGTATATTATAATTTGGTCTATAATTTGGCCTATGTAAATTTGCATTTGCCTTTTTTATTACTTTCATTTTGGGGCAGTTACAGAGATGTGGCTGCTTTCCTCTCCCATCAAATGTAACTAGTGTAGTTTTCCTTGAGAGTGAGTAAAGCTTTCAAGGAAATGATGAAAATGTTTAATGCTGTATCGTTTACTTCATGACAACATCACATTAAAATTTTTCGTTTGCTTTTGTTACAGAGTTCAGAGGGGCCAGAATCTGAGGGGGAGGAAATATCCAGTGAGGACAGTGACAATGATGAAGTGAGTGAGACAAGGCAGATAATTTCCTTATTAATAAGGGAATAAATTCTTGATGTTATTTATTTGTCCTTTATATTGGTTTAAAAAGTTTAAACAGGGTAAAAGGTTTGTATATTGGATGGCAAAGCCTTGTTTCTAGACAAAGCTTTTCCAATCTTTTTAAAATCTGTCACATATCACTAATCTCTCAGTCAATGTGAGTGTCTACCCAAATAGCAGTGTTGCTAATCTTATTGCACTCTGTGTTCTGATCTTTAATTTGTAAGACTTATCACTTTTTATGATTGACAAGGTCATGTCACCTGACAGAGTTTTGCTAAGGGACTGTAAGTGTATTCTCTCCTTGGCAACACAACTGTATATTAATAATAAAGAAGAGTAATATGAGGAAAGTATTTTATTAATGAAATTAAACGCTTGGCTACCTATAAATTTTAAGGATCCCAGGAGGGGCATATAATAGATAAGAGGCATTTCTTAGAGAGGCAAACACCCTAAGCATTATGACAAACGTGCTTGACAAATAACAGTTGTTAACTTATTAAGTACAGAGATCAAGAAGATCAAAGAGCGGTATTCCAACTTCGAACCTGACATTGAACAATTTTCTATACCCAATTCCTTGTTAATTAAGCCATTTTGCTCTACTACGGCATTCCCCAGTATTTTGGAATAACTTTTTATGGGGGCATCTATTAGACATGGGGCGTTTATTGAAGAGGGGCTTCTAATGTGAACCTCACACAGAGGGAAGGGTGTTTATTAATTCCCTTTTTATTGTTTATAATTTTTCAATTTTAATACGTAGGTTTTTTTGCCTCAATAAAATTGCTCTTCAATTAGAATAATTCATGCTGTTTTTGTTTTTAGGAAACAGATCTTGGTAAGGCTCTTGCTGCTTTGCGAGCACGAGACACAATCAATGATGTTCTGAAGAATCCAGTGCCATCTGCAACACAGTTAATCATTGATTATGAACAAATGGTTGGAGTGTTGCACCAAGACTGCCATCAAGCGCCACAGACAAGGACATTATTTGGTTCCCCTAGATCTGCTGCCCTTGTGAATCTCATGACAAATGTCACGGAGCAGCTTGAGGGTTATCAGTCAGAGAGTGACATCGGTCCTGCCCTTCATGCAGCAAGACAAGTAGCATATTGGTCTTCCGTGTTTGTCTCAATGATGTCTGACAATGCTTCCTCCATCCTTGACACAAGCAATGGATATTCAGCATGTACAACTGCCACCTTAACCTCAACAATAACTTCAACTCATTGCACGACTTCATCCACTTCTACAACCGCCCTAACGCCAATTTGTCAACCCACCATAGCTCCCTTTGCAGCATCTGCCTCAAATCCTTCACTCGTCGTTCCGACAACTGCTATTTCGAAAGATCAGGCCTCTCAGTCCAATCATCAGCCACTTTCCGTGTCCACCCAACCAAACGCTGTGGTAAATATTTCATCCATTCCATCCATCTCTTCAATTACTTTTACGCCTCATCAGCAAATCGCCATGTCCACTCTCCCACCAGTCTTCGTGTCAAGCTATCAAGCCACCTCATTCGACCCTATTGTGACATTCTCAAGCCATCCAACAAATTCGTCTACTTCTTGCACAGCTGGTATTCCAAATCATCAAGCTACTTCGTCTGTTCCTCGGCCAGTCATAACGACAAGCAATCGACCTGCACCTGTCAGATGCACGTCAGATCAAGAAACTACCACTGATACTCCGCCAGCTATCTATTCATCAGGTTATTTCACCAACCAGCACACTTCTGTTTCTGTTCCTCCTACATTTTCCTCTGCCGCATCTGCTTCTGCCCCTGCAACCACCAGTGCGCCTTGCGCGGTCTCCAGCCAAGCAGTCACCCAGCCTCACCGTGTGACAGATACAGTTACACTGGAAGTGTTTAAAAATTATGGATCTGGCTCTTTATCGCGGTGGTTGGATTCACTGCGTATTCCGAGGAATGTCGACAGCCTTCAACAAGTGAAAGAACTTTGGGAACTTGGTTCTGCTAACTGTCTTCCTCTTCAAAAGTCGACGGTAACTATGCGAAACCATCGCTCTGAAACGTCAGGGAAAAACACATCATTGTTCAGTCAACGGAAGTTTATATATAACTTGTTCAAGAAACATAATTTTGATGAAAATGACATATTTGCTAAGTACAATGAAGTTAGACCGGGTAAGCTTTACAAGATACTGAAGAACATGTGAGGCCAAAGTAATTTAGGAAACTGTTCTTGTTTTCGCTTAAGACACAGGCGATTCAGTGTCTTTTCCGATATGCCTTGATTTTCTGTATGACGTAAGGTTTATATCACCGAAACAAATATCGTTTGATGAGGTTAAGGGCATAATATTTAGGGCCTAATTACATAGCCGGTCTGGCTGGCTTTGCATCGCACGACCAGATAACCAGGCTGGCTCGGTTTTAGCCTGAGAACAAGCTTTCCCTCACCCCAATACCCCCGGGAGAGCATGCTCGCAGGCCAGCTCGGTTTTCGCGTAATCGCAAAGTTGAGTTTTGTTTCATTTCACTAACGTCTCGGCAAAGCTAGCCAACCCGGCTCATGTAATCAGACCTAAAAAGGATGACAAGTATATTGCTTCTTGTCTATTAAAGGTTTACTTACATTGACAATTGGCTTGTTCTTGCTTGGTTTGAATACGAACATGAATGTAATCTTTGCTATAACTTCGATTTGTTCACAGGCAAATTTTAAAAGTAGACAGTAACGTGCAAGGTAGTTACACGTGCCTGTTATGTAGCAAGTAGTTTTGAATTTACAGTTTTATAAAGACTGCTCTTTGTATGGTTGATTAAGAGGACAAAAGAAATAGACTATTCGGAAAATAACCCCCTGCGTGGCCTCTTGCGCCCTTCAATGTAGTAGTTGAACGAAAAATAGTAGCTTGGAATTCCGCGTTCATAGCTTGAGAAGTTTAGAAGTTATTTGTGTACAAAGGTGGAAAGAGCTTCGATCCTGTCCTACCCCCTTGGGCTTGCCTGATAGGAACATGGTTATTACGAGGGGAGAAGAAAAACAACATTCAGGAAATGAAAAAAGGGCTCTCTTGTTGATAACTGTAAATGCTCGAACTAGAGTTTCCTTTCCAATAAGTCCCCCACCCCAAATACACCTCCTTGTCCGCCTTACTAAATACAGTCGAGCACCGAGGGGACCCAAGAAAGTGTTCGTAGTAAGCGGGTCATGTTATTTTGGTAAAAAATATACCTTTCATTTGCTCAAAATACTAAGAAATCGTACGGGAACTTATCATCGTCAAAATAAACGTCTCTAACTTAGTACAGAAAGCCGTTATTTCGCGGACTATATCTATGCGGACTATATCCGTTGATACACTCAAAATTCGCGCATTTAGACATCACTCAATCAAAAATAATCGTCATGGTGTCATCTGTTTTTTAACCCTAGAAAAGGTAAGGTTTGTTGCCGAAACACAGTTGACAATGAAGAGTCCGTAATAGCGAGGTTAACTTTCTATGAGAATCCGATGATTGGACAAGAAAAAAGTGTCCGTTGTCCACATTAACGGCGGGGGCGTAGCCAGGAGTTTTTCATGGTTACGCACAATTCTCCAAATCGCTTCCCCCTCCCCCGCCAAATGAATAAATAAATAACTTTCTTGATTCCTTGTAAATTCTCAATGTTTTCTAGTGTAAACAATTTGTCCAACTTATCCGGACACTTTTCCGCATTTGATCATACGAGTTTGCCAGAGTAGAACCAAAATGAAACTCACTTTCATGAATAAAGGTAGCGGCAACGGCGACCACGAGGGCCGGGAACGAAAAAGTTCCTAGCTATCAAAATGAATGCGCCTTTCTTTTTTTCCTTTTTAGCGTATATTTCCGTCAACTCTCTTAAAATGACAAATGTAGGTGAAATTGACTGAGTCTTGGGGACCGCACCCAAGTTCGGACTCAGAGAAAAAAAAAAATTCAAAGAAACAACCAGCGTTGAATGAATTCAGGGCAGACAGTGTTCTTAAAATAATTATCTTCAGATATTTTGCTTTTTTTTTTTTTCAATTAACTTTTTATTTTTTTGTTATTTAATCATTACAATTAATTTATTATTTTTATTTATTTTTGTGCACGACTTTTTCAGGTACGCACGTGCGTACCGTGTCCATATTAAGCGGGACAAAGAAAACTGTCCGTAATAACGGGGTTTCCGTATTAAGCGGGTGCCCGTAAAGTGGGGTTCGACTGTATACGGCATACATTACGCTTATCTTCAAGGAATATAGCTTAACATGTGCGGTCACTAGAGAAAGACCCATTTGAGGACATCACACGGTCGGAGGTTAAAGACGCGTCGTCTCTGACAATAGTACTTGTGGGTAGCGACAGAACTTGCCTATAACAGAAAGTTCAAATCCAAGAGTATTCACCACACACTCGCAATTTTGGGTAAATACTGAAAGACGCATTCTAGATTTCGTGTTAAATGTTGCAGTTCTTGTTCATTTAATACTAAGACAAATGTCATCTTAAGGACCACATTCTCTCTAAAAAATGGAATATGTGCCCCCTTGGAATAACCGCCCCGCCTTCGAATTAGCGCCCTACACTCGACTCGCCCGGGCGCTAATTCGAGCATTTAGGGTATTTGGTCAGGACGTTTGAAAAGTTCCCATTGAACTGTTTAAAAACCCTTTCAAGGCAGGTACGGAAAACGACTATAAGCTCCATGCGGAGAGGGATTAATAATGAGACGTGCTGCAGCGAGAAAATAGTTTCAACGACGTGTCGCAGCCAGAGACTTGGGCACCGAACTATTTCTTGCTAACTATTGTGTCCTGACCTTTGGATAACGAACACTGATTCTTCCATCGCAATTTATGGTGACATGAAGTAGCACCGTATTTTGCGGCAAAGTTTATAACGCAAAACCTGGTTAGGTTGAGTAAGTCACATTTTGCGGCAATGCAAACTGTGGTCAGACTACGCCACCACAGATTGAACTGTTTCAAAATATGGTTTTAAAAGACTTGTTCCATCGACCCTCAAGCTAAAACTAACAACTTGTGTATACTCCTCGACACGATTTTACGCGAGCCCTACCTCTGCTCCCTAAGCGTGCCGTGTTTTGCGCTATTGCAAAATGTGGTTTAAGCGTGAAGTCGCATTATGAAATGACGCAAACTGTGGACTAGGTGAATTTTCCTAGGAAACCATATTTTGCGCCAAATGCAGAACGAGCCTCGCTTTGTCCTAACGCAAAACTTGTCCTTTGCTTATAAAGACACACTTTGCGTCCATTGCAAAATGTGTCTTTATGTACAAAACCGCATTTTGCGTTAACTCAAACTATGGCATTAAAAGCGTAGTGTATATAGTCCACGCTTGCGAAACCACAGTTTGCGCTAACGCAAAATGTGTCCTTTGCATATAAAGACACATTTTGCGTCCATTGCAAAATGTGGCTTTATGGACAAAACAGCATTTTGCGTTAACTCAAACTATGGCATTAAAAGCGTAGTGTATAGTCCACGCTTGCGAAACCACAGTTTGCGCTAACGCAAAATGTGTCCTTTGCATATAAAGACACATTTTGCGTCCATTGCAAAATGTGGCTTTATGGACAAAACCGCATTTTGCGTTAACTCAAACTATGGCATTAAAAGCGTAGTGTATAGTCCACGCTTGCAAAACCACAGTTTGCGCTAACGCAAAATGTGTCCTTTGCTTATAAAGACACATTTTGCGTCCATTGCAAAATGTGGCTTTATGGACAAAACCGCATTTTGCGTTAACTCAAACTATGGCATTAAAAGCGTAGTGTATAGTCCACGCTTGCGAAACCACAGTTTGCGCTAACGCAAAATGTGTCCTTTGCTTATAAAGACACATTTTGCGTCCATTGCAAAATGTGGCTTTATGGACAAAACCGCATTTTGCGTTAACTCAAACTATGGCATTAAAAGTGTAGTGTATAGTCAATGCTTGCGAAACCACTATTTGCGCTAACACAAAACGAGTCTTTCGCTTACAGAGACACGTTGCTTGCACTGCAAAATGTGTCTTTAATAAGAAAACCGTATTTTACGGTAGTTCGAACTATCTACGTCTCGAAAACCCAACTCTGCCCTCGGCTTGATACTAATCTCGTAACCAGATTTCACTTAACTTTCTGTCTCTTACACTGAACATGACACGCTACTAATTGTCCAATCTGTTACAAATTGGCCAATCGGCCCTCACACTCTTTTTCACATCCCATGCCAGTATGAAAGAGGAAGAACATTCAGTGACCCAATTTTAACCACGCAAATTAACTCAAACATCGCCAGCTGTTCTCATATTTAATTGTTTTGTTAAAAAGAGGAAGTAAACGCTAATCTATTATACAGTGTTTCGCCAGAACGACAATAACTTATTATGAAGTTTTATATAAAACACATGCAGATTGTTGTTTGATGAAGGGAGTTGCTGGAAAGTAGTAAGGGGGATAAGTAGTCAATTAACATCGGTGTCGCTGAATTCTCAATTATTGTATAAACGCAATCGAATTTTCAGTTAAAACATTACTGCCAGCAAGATCTATATCTAGGCAGGTCCTTTGGAGCGACCACATTTGAATTCTTATACATAAGTGCATAGTCTTAAAGAATTTCAAAAAATGAAATCACTGTTTTTTATCGTTTATTATTATATATATAATATTTTTTTACTTTGAAAGTGTACACTCATCATGTACTGTGACAGCTCTGATTGGAATATCTAGTCATCACAGAGCTCTGAAATAACTTTCATAAGCCTAATTTATAAAGTTCAAGTTGAAAATCTTAATTAAAGCCGTTATACTTAGACAACCACAACAAGTTTAATTGATTCCTCAGGACCCTGTTCATCTGGAGAAAATGTGTCCTGGGTAGAAGGGTCACTTGCCTACCTGGGCTTCCCTAGAGAAAGAGCCATTAACTTTTCTTACATTTCCTTACATAACTTGGCAAACTGTCTACACAAGGAAAAAAAATTGCTTGGCTAAAAGGTTAACCTGCCTAGTCAAGTCATCCTTCTGACTAGTCCAACTTTTCTTCACATAAACACTTTGGCTTGTCCAGTCGGGATAACTCATTCAGGGCCGGAGAGTAAGAGAATGCGCGATCAATCTTTGCTCGGGCGAAGGGATCAACCTTTTTTGCATATAAACACTCACTGAATTTCACTCAGCTGGGAGAGTGACCCTCTGACCCGGTCCACATTTTCTACATATAAACAAAGTCTAAGGACCGGTTATTTAAAGGGACAGGTTCACGGTTCAGCACATGCTCAGTTATCAAAATGCTGTTTTTCTTCCGAGACATGCTGTATCATCTATGCAAGCAATATGATCATGTCATAAAGATGTCAAAGAACCAATCTGCACATCACTCCCCTGGCAGTCACTTGCACTTGATCAACTTAAATAGTTGCAAATAGCTGTAAATTAATCAAACATGGAATAAAACCATCGGGTCGACAATAACTTCAAAGTTGGTAGTGCTGGCACAATCCACTATTTTTTTCGGCGATTTTAGTACTCCTCCATCCTACTTCAGGTTACTCTGAATACAATTCTACTTTGAAATATACTCTGAGATCGCTGAGATACATGTGAGTGGGATTATTAACCAATAGAACTAATAATAAATTGGAAAGACCGTAAATGAATAGACCTATTTAGTTTTGCAACAGGTCATGTGGTATTACTCTAGACGACGTTTTTTTTGAGATTAGGTGGTATTGAGTTGCATTCGCAGATTTATGGAAAAGACTAGGGGCCCGTTTCGCGAAAGTCCCGATAGTTAACGGGACCGTAAAGGTGTTGTTGTTGTTTACGTGCAACATAGCGGTTCCAATAGTTTTGCATCTAACATGATAAAACTATCAGTTAACTAAATGAAACAAAATGGAGCAGTCTGCTAGCTAGGATCCGGGCTCTTATTCTTTATATTTCGATTTCAAAAGTTGATTTCGGGCCCGAAACGGTACCGGGACTTTCGCGAAACGGGCCCCAGCTCGGGTAATTGATACCCATGGGACCGTCATTAAGAATAACAAAACCACGGGGAATTTTTGTTGGGGTTGTGCATACCAGTTCCTTAAATCCTGACGCTAAAAGGTCATTTTCAACCCCGGATTTCAGACCTGTCTCTAAAATCCACAACATCTCATTAATTTGATGACATCAAAAATAGTTTTTTCTTTCTAATTCGACTGAAATTGAAACAAACATTTCTTTCATAAAACTCCCTTTAATTTCCTCGAGAACCATAGAGATACCAGAGTCTATACCCTTTCTGAGAATGAGCTTTTAATACAAGAAGGCCATTCTCTATTGAGAGAGCACATATCTGTATGCCGGGTATGAGCTTCCCCACCCCACACCCTTCAGGAACAAAACATACATGCCCAAGAGGTCTTTTCAATATTAAACGGTAGTTGAAATGTCTTTGCTTTCTTTTTTAGTTGCACGATTACCCAGTAGATTATGATAGTAAGGACCAGAGCTTGAAGAGTAATAATATTCAGATTTGAAGTTCATACTATTAACAGAAACAAGACAATGATTCCACTGTTTAGTAATTTTTGTTTTAAAGATCTTGCCTGTTTTTGCTGGTTCAAGCCACATCACGGGGGTTTAATTGTTTAGGAATATTTTTCACTAAATATTGTTAGTTCTGATTTGTGTCCTTTCTACTCTATTGCACCATTTCTGTTGAAAGGAGCATCATGCCCTTTTTTCACACACCAGCAATGAAGGTATGAAGTTATAGTTGGACTTTGCAAGGTACAATTTTGGGCTAAAATCATACATTTGACCTCCTATCCTTCTCACACTGAGTGCTTGTGATTTCAGACCCAGTGGCACTTCCCTAGTTCAATTACTGTATTATTATTCTGGTAATCATGCTCTTGAAAAGGGGCCATGATGTCAACTGATTAACCTACCCAATCAAGAATGTCCGAGGACAACATTATTATACTCTTACTTAAGTACACGGACTTTTCAAGTTTATTACTTGTTTAAAATTAAATGAAATGTAACTTCAAAAACAAAATTCACTATACAATAAATAAATGTTGTATGATTATGCTGCATATTATATATATGAGCATCTGTTTAGACACCATAACCAGATATCAGATCAGGTTGAGCATAGAACATACAAGATAATGTCTAAACAGGCATTTTTCTGATTCTATTTTGATGATATCAATTTCAAATTTTTTTAACTTAAATTGTAATTAAAACATTGTTTGTAGTTGATAATTTGCACTTTCCTAATTCCTAATCCTAAACTAGAGTAGAGAAATGTGACATCACCAAAATTCAAATTTGTGAAATTATGGGATTGGTTGCAAGCCAGATTGAGAAAGAAGAGGAAGATCGAAAAAGCCCACTTGCCCCAGAAAAATCAGCCTACTTGTGAAAACTGGTGGGGACATATAAACACCATTAATCTCCAATGACTCTATACTAATACCGTATTTATTCGATTAACCGCACTGGGAGGTTATTAAATTTTTGGATCTGGAGAAAGCTCCATCTTCGAGAGGGTCTCTTATTATATCCTTATTGGAGTTTTTGTGCGAGAGGGTGTGGTGGGGTTGGCACTTATTCGAGGCTGGGTGCTTATTAACTTTTCTGCTTTAAAGATGGGCGCTTATTCGAGGTGGGCACTAATTCGAGGTTGGGCGCTTATTCGAATAAATACGGTAGTTTTACATTTCTTATTTGTTTGAAAGGATTTTCATGCAAGGAGTCATGAGGGCATAATGCAACTTCTTTCTCCCCACCAGTTTGTGGGTGGATAATCCTATCCAGTGGAACAATCTCTATCCAATGTTTTGTGCGATTAGTTTCCCTAATACTTATCTGCTGGATAGTGATTTATCCGGTGGATAAATGCTATTCAATATTTGAACAACCCAGACAAGATAAATAAGTTATTATTATCCAGTGGTTGCAATTATAATTTGCTTTTCATAATTGTCAACTTATGCACTGGACATAGATTTATCCAGCAGAGGGGGCTTTCCAACTGCTAAATAACTGGGGCTTGTGTAGTCTTGTCCATCTTTTGGACAACCAGGGAAAGAGCTCTGTATGTGGCCCACTATTTTTCTTGTTACCTACAGAGAATGTGTCAATGCTCAAAACTTCCTACTATGGAACATGATTCAAAAAACGGAATTTAGGAGGGGTTGTTTGAATAGGATAATGGCTCACAGCAGAAGCATATAACACATATAACTCTACTCCAATGCTAGGATTTTTTTTGAAAACCAATCAAAATATTATTACTAATAAGAAATTACTAGTTTACATGCACAATCCATTATTAGTTATTTTTTTAGACAGGGATTTCTTCAAGTCTCTGATTCCATGTTTGGGCAAAAACGTTTCTGTGCTTCTGATTGGATGGATAAAAAACCTAGCATGCTTCTTGACTTCTTGACAAATAAGTGGATTTTAGATGCTTCAGGGTTTTATGCTCCTGCTCACAGCCATGCTCTGTAAAATCCACGTCAAGGGTTCTATGGCCTATGAAGAAATATCTTGACATGAAAGTTTTAACAGGAAAAAAACTGCCGAACAAGTTATCGTATGGGCTTGAACATCCACATCTTGTGGTCCAACACAGGACTTCCATCATGATGTTCTTTGATCATCTCGGCCCTAGCATCCTGGGTGTAGAGTTCAAAACTGTTTGACTTCCTGAGAAAAAAATTAAAACAGCAGCAGTAAGTTTCACAAAGCCTACCCCAATTATGAGCGAACATAAAAGTCACTTGCTAGCATTTAGTATCCATCAATCACTGAATTGTACCAATACCGTAAAAACCCATGTTAAAGCAACACCCCCCCCCGCCATGTAAGCCCACCAATTTGTGATTACAGGTGGGAAAAGACTTTTCATCAATATAATCATAATACTACACAATGTTCTGGACAGTCATTAATATAAAATCCTCCCACGTACCATCTTTCTGCTCTTTTAATGGTACTGTCGTCTGCTCCACACCGGGCTGCCCAGCGAGAGGCTGACCTGCGAATGCTATGAGTCGTAAACTCCTTGTCAAAAAGAGTCTTTGACATCTATGGAAAAAAATACAAAATAAATACATAAAAAAATAGGAAACGTTGTATGAAATATATGACAAAATTTATCCTCAACCCAGAAATACAGTCTAGCCTCCCGTAAGTGAGGTTCTTTGTAAGTTCTTTGTATATTCTAAGTAGCATAGTGCACACAGTGAACATAGAGATCATAAAGATCTAAGATCATTCCTTTAATAATTACTAAGATATGGCAGTAAAATATTAATTTCTTCGTGAAAACAGATTCAAACCAAACACCACACTATATTGCCCACATGAAACCAGGTCCATTATACCAAAAGACGATCAAAGAAAGAGAAACATATTTTACAACCATTAATACTGTGGTAGATGTTTTGGAATTTTTTGAAGTCTCAGTCACTTAACTCCATCTGTTATTAAGCAAACTGTTGAGAAAATATTGAAGACAATCTGTTCACTTCACAAATCCATTAGGATTTTTTGTCTTAGCTGTTCAAAATATTTAGCAGAAAAGATGAATGCTTTAAAAGGGAATAATTATTTAGATAACAGAAAAGCACAAGTGTATAAAATATTATACAGCCTGCCTCTGGAATAAAAGCTAACCTGCCAGTGCTTAACCTGTTAATATCCTCATGGATAGATCATTATTTAAAAATAGAAAAAACAGTGGACCTGGCTAGACAGCTTTAAACAACACTTTGCACCTAATATTACAAGAAATTCAAGAAGATACTGAGGAACAATAAAAAAAAATCAATTTATACCTCACAAAAGTTTTTTCTATAAGAGGTAACACCACGTGCCGACTTTGGATGGACAAATCGGTTATTCTTTGCCACTCTAGGAAATATATATCCCTTTTTGATACCTGTGAAAAAAAAATCAACTTTTCAGTTTTAAACAAGACGCTGTAAGAGTGTATATTTGGGTATCATTGTACTAGGCATATGTGATGTCTTTTATGTGTACTGTCGAAGCTCTCATTGTGACCACTCTAAAAAGCGATCAGCTCTAGTTATGATGACATTTGAGAAACCCCAGTTAAACAGTGACTTCAAATTTGGAATGAAAAGCTCTTGTAAACAACCGCTTATGTAAGTGACCCTGACCACTTTTGGGATTACTTTAACATATCCATCCCTTCTCATTTCTTTGTCCCACACTGTCCAGTACAGTTTAAATACGGTGTCCAGCTCTGTATATTAATGATGCATTGTTGCTTAGTTCCTTTGTCAAAATATTAATATTTCTTGCAAGCTTTCTTTGCAGTAAAATGTGCAGGATACTTTTATTCCTTCCCCATGATATATCATTATTAATCAATTATTTGCTTCAAGCTCCCAATAACTTCAGCTCCTGATAACTCTTACTTTTTTCAATCTCTCTAAGAGGTTTGAATTGACTGTACTATAAAACCTTTCTTTGAGAATCAACTTAGATACAGTAGGAGTCAAGTTAAAGTTGAAGTGTTTCTATTGTCACTAAGTCAAAAAAAAAAAAAATTACAAAACATTTCCTCAATCAAGAAAAGCAACATTTAAAGCAAAACTTAACTGGGCAAATGATTCTTTTATTCGCAAAATTTTCAGAGTTGCAACTAGTGAAATTCAACTAACCTGTAATCATCAGCCACACAAACAAAGCAGTAACTGGACACAACTCGTGATTCAAAGGATTTGCCCATAAAGTCAGTGTGACACCTAAATTAATGGCAAGTACCAGCAATAAATAAACAAAACAGCAACAACACTAACCACTTTATTTATTTCAAACTCTAGTAGGACAATTCTCTTATATGTTTATGGCATATATATGGCCTTTACCTCAACACCAGAAGTCACAAGGTTGTGTCCATGTTTCCTTATGCAACTGTTTATTTTGTTGAAAAAAGAGTTCTTTCTTTTAATCCTGTGGTCATGTTTTCTTTTAAAACTCCACATTAAGTAAGTAAGTAAGTAAGTAAGTAAGTAAGTAAGTATGTAAGTGAAGAATTTTTCTTGAGCATGTAATGTGAAAGACAAAATTTGTACATGTAACTGACTCAGTTGTGTAAAGTGCTAAACAAAACCCACCTTTGCAAATGGTGTCTAAAATGGCTAAATGGCTTATCAAACAGAGCATGCTAACCAGATACTAGTGCTTTGCTGTTTACACTGTATTATTATTATTATTATTATCATTATTATTATTGCAATAATAATATCCATAATCAACCTGTGAGGTATGTTAAAAAAATCAATCTTCTGTTAATTCTATTTTGACCTGTCACATTCATATACAGATGGAACTGTATTAACAAACTTATATTATTTTACATGTACCTTTGGCTTTTCTGTCAGCTTTTGACCAAGGAATTTTTACCTCAATGCGCTGTGGTAATTTCTTGGACTCAGCTAAAGTAAGGAAATTGACATTGTCAAAGAAAAAAATCATCACTTACTGTCATTTAAAGCATTATGAAAACAGTAGTTGGGAAGACAAGGGTTATATGTTAAATTTGCTACCTATCAAAAAGAAAAACAACACCAACACACAATTACATACATACCTGTATGCCATACCTGTATGCAAGCCATCCTAAATAATGCATTAATGGAAACTGCTAAATATGCTAAATACATACTATCAAGGCTATGTTGTTTGGTTGTGTCAAGGGTAAAACCTCTACACTCTCAGACCAAATTAGCATGGGTTTATGTGCCATTAAACAAAACAGTAGGCGATAAACACTGAAAACTTCTCTCGCAAACCTCTTGTAAAGTAATATTCTGCTTCTTACATTTTGTACCTTAATCAAATATAAACATTTGAAATTTTGATCATGAGCTTTTCCAGCATATACAAGTCTGATAGGCCAGTTGGGTACAAAGAATAACAGTTTACCTTGGTAGTTGGGAGGCAACCTCAAATGCCTCATTTTTAAGCGAAGGGGTTCCTCCCCTCTTAAAAACAGTCCAAATGAGAAAAGCGTGACTGTCCAGAGCCACAAGCCACGCATGCCCTAGCAAAACAAAATAACAATGATACTAATAAAAAGATTAACTTAAAATAAACCAACGAAATGTGAATAACAAGAAAACTGCTAAGTAGACTTTGCCATTTGTTTACTGAAAAGTGCATGTCTTGTTATCAGTACTTTTATCTTCAAGTTAACTGTAGAATTACTGTTATTTTAATGTTAAATGAAGCCAACACTCTTTGTCGGATGTGAAATGTAAAAAAATCTAAGCCTAAGTGCTAATGACAGACAGGAAAAAGTATTCAGCTATGAGATTAAGAATCTACACTATTATTGGTAAATTCAAGCTAAACAAAACCACACTATCCTTCTCTTATCAGAAAACTAGGTGCTCCTTTTTTTCTAGAAATAACTAGTTTGTAAAGTATACATAATTACACATAATCCACAGTGTATAATATTTACAATACAATTAATTTTCCTATCCTAGATTGACACTTTTTACCCTACCTCAATTGTTTTCAAACAGTAACTGCGAATCCGTAGCAACTACTGCAATGAAAAGGGTGGTGCCTTCTTGGGTTCATAAGGCACACGGCCCCTTTGTGTGTCTGATCTTGTTGGCCTGGCTGCCCTTTTGATTAACTGCTTCATTGTCTTTTTGACATCTGCAAAATTCATGGTAAAAAATACCTTTCACAGAAAAAAATTCAGGAAAACAACAACAACAAGGGGGACTCACCTGGTGATTCCATTGGATTCCCCTTGGGAATCACCTTTTGAACACCATCAATTTCTTGTATGTCCTGGCTGTATGGACCACTATGTCCAAAGGCATCAAACCAGTACTTAAAGGCTGCTGCATGGCCTCTTAATACTGGTGGCTTTAGACCACGGCATCGTAATGTTCCCAGACGCTTTCCTTTAGTTTCACCCATGAGTTCTTAAAGAAAGTTGAAAACAATACCTTTGAAAACCAAGCCCTAACAAAGCAACTGTTGTACAAATGGACAATCCTTGACAAGTCTTGGGACATTTTGGCATTTCTAATGCACTGTTTTAAGAGGAAACCCAGAAATGACAGAAAAATATAAATATTGCATTATTATCGCAAGGACTTTTGTCCATGATTGTGAGGTCACAATATAACCAAGCTATTGACTTCACTACATTACATCTAATATATGTCAGTGAAATTGTATGCCGATACTACAGGCACTGGCAAGTGACTTGGCCGAAAAAGTTGCAACGGATTGTAACATAAAATCCCGACAAGGGACAACATCCCTTGGCTAAATTGCGATACTAACAGCAAAGCCAAGAATGAGTGACAAAAAACGGTGGTTTGGCTAATTCATCACCAGTCTGAATGCCAAAAAGAAGTAATTCTCATCAATTTTTCTTGGTGAGTTAGTCTTAAAATGTTGAACGTGGATCACTTTATTGTGAATGATATGGTGATGTATAGGTGTTCGATACAAGAAATGTTAACTGAGAAAGTGCAGAACTGTAATGGTTTCTTGAAACGCATCGCCATCCCTCATTTCTAAAATTCCGACAAGGACAAAGAAATTTCGTTCAATTTCCGACAGCGATGTGAACCGTTTACAAACACTGACACAAGACCTTTCAAAATTAGAATGCCCTACCCCGAAACCCTAACCCTAACACTAAACCCCAACCCCTAAACCCCTAAACCTAAACCTGGAAATCTCGCCCCCCCCCCCCGCCTTGGCAGAGCTTCATTGGGCAATTGTTACATGTTCGAGAATTCCATCTAAATGAAGGTTTAGATGCAAAATAGGGGTGATCCTAAATAGCAAAATAACCTAGCTTTCAGGGGCACACACAAAAAAACAAGTTAATTATCGCCATTGATCGAAGTGATGACTCGCAAGTATCCCTTTTGAAACTTACTCTTTGATCGAGACATGAGCATTCAGTCTATAGACTTAGCATTCTTGCACACAGGCTGCAGACCTCTAACTTCAAATTGTCCATTGTGGAGCAGCAAATGTCTGTATGCATTGCTATTAGGCTCACATTTTTATATACGTATAATCAAAAAATCCCTCTAAACTATATGCTATTTCCCTAACTCTTAACCTACCAGTTATCACCGAAGCAAGGAGGACAGACGAGCAACCGAGAATCCTGAAAGGTCAGCGGTACTACCAAAAACGTTACTTTATATACGCCTGCACCAATATTTACAAGACAGTGACACCACGTCTCCACCAACGAACCAGGTACTAAACAATTACAGCGATTTTCGTATGACCTTGAAATAAAAACGCGGAAGCCCAAAACAATAACAATGTGTGTTCTTTATCTTTCCGTTAAACGATGAAACAAAACTGCGGCAACGGTAGATAACAAAAAAAAAACTTCGGCTCGAGTCTGAAACACCGAAGGCGTGAGGCGGGAATTTGATTGAATCAATATATCAGAAAATATAAGAACTTACGAATAAAGGTTTGTATAGTCGCCCCTAAAAACGGCCTTTTGTTGGGGCCAAAAAGGACAGCATCGTCACCGTTTTCCCTGGCAAACTTCTCAAGGGCAATGAGCCGAAGCTCGTACGTCCTCGCTGTCTTCTCGTCCAAACTCTGACTCTGGTTTTCGGCCGCAAGTCTCGCACCCGCGGCAAGGTTGGCAGGCATCAAGGTTCCCATTTCAGCTTCGCTCCCACAACTGTCAATGAAGCGCAATACGTTGGGACTTCTTCCCTTGTAATTTTTCTTTTTTGAGGAGGCAGAGGCCATGGCGTCAAAGACACATGGAAAGGTTTTGACATGGACGTGACTGGAAATAATGCGCGGATGAAATTCGATGACGTGATGAAATGTTGTAAAAACGCATGTTGACATAATGATAAAAGCTGTCATCCGGCAGGCTGTCTAATTGGTTAATTTTGTAGGATTCCTACAAGCGCCCCGTGGTTTTTTGCTACGCTTTGCTACCAAATAATAATCTCTCATTATATGAGGCGGGAGTCTTCTTTTCTACCTTTTTTCTTCGTTGCATTGCCTTCTGAGCACTCTTCGCAGGGCTGCAGAGTATAAACAGAATTGAGGAAGCCTCTTCGAATTTTATAAGCCATTGACGATCTGGTGTATTTTTTGTAGGAAACAATAGGGCCTATAGATCGTAGTAGATAATATTAGAGCGTTTAATAAAGTATCAGGGGCATTCAACGGCAATTTTCTGGAAAATATCTGTTCGGAAGACGATTTGAGAACTAGAATTTTCGGAACATTTGTTGTAAAATTTCTTGCTTGCCTGCCTCTCCTAGGATTTTCGAACATCTACAAAATGGTATAATTACCCATTTTAAACGGATATTTACACTAAAAAAGGCCACCTAGAATTTTCGGGAGCCTTTACCTGGCTGAAATTTTCGAAAAGGTAAGTTTTGAGCGCTATAATTTTCGGATCACTAGACTTTCAGCTAGGAAATCCGAACAGATGAAAAGTTTTTAGGGGATAAAAATATGCCTATATCTACCGTTTAAATACTAAAACACGTTCAACAATGCTATGTTAAGTGGTTTTGAACTATATGCTCGTTGGGTGCCCCTGAAGTATTTTCCGTATTCGCACGAGTTGCGCACAGTCTCATTAAGTTAAACCTTATAACCGAAATATTAAGTCCATAATCTGTTTGCTGACTTTAGCCCTCCTTAGAGTGGTTCCAAAACAAGATGTAATAGGGCGCTTAGATCCCGGATGGTGATAAACAAGATAGATGTTATAATTTGATCAGGCTTTTCTCGGAAAGGACTTTTGACCAATAGGATGAGCCAACTCAAAAGACAAGTTTAAACAAATCATATATTAGATCGAACAATTGCACGTCTACCTACAGTTGCGCTCTTTACAGGTCGACGTACTGTGAATAACTCAGTTGAGAGAAGGTTTTGGATTTGACTTCTGTACAAAGCAAAATGAGGTGCGTAGTTACAAAAAAGAAATCAGTTCCATAGTGTTGACTTCCCAAGTTAATTTACCTAAGAAGCTAGGGATCGAGTTCAGTGCTCCTATATCTTTGAATCGGTTCCATATGAACGAAACTCAAATGACCTGAATGGAGCACCGAATTCGATCCCTAGCTTTGTAGGTAAATTAACTTAAATTAACTGATCCTTAACGGTTGGAAATGGCAGGCATAAACAAGCAAGGACTAAGCTTCTTTTGGAAAAAGTTAGGCATTAATAGTTCTCCAGTATTTTGTTTCCTCTATTTTAAATACATTTTGCTTCCTGATGCATTATTATCAGCCAGTTTTCTAGTCTGCTGGGATAGCAGGCACCTCCGGGAGCTCTTGCCTCCATTACAGAAAAGCAATTGAATTTCTGAGTCTCTTAAGGCTCTTTAACCGACACAAGCTTCGCTCACTTTCATCTGCAAGCAGGTTAAAAGGTATCATCCACCCTTAAGCACCCTCCCCGCGTTGATCGGCGCTAGCGCTTTTGCTTTTAATAAATACCCCCATAAACCGTACATTTTCTGAAAGCTTAATAGTTCCAGATTATTGCTTATTCCTTTTAAAAAATCAAAATATTAACGCGATTCAGAAATGAGAAGCTTTTTGTGAAAGTGGGTGTCGCTGTAAATTTAAGTCCAGGCCAGCCAAAAATATACGGAAGAAGCCAATTAAGATCGCATTCGCTTCTTAACACGTTTGACTAAAATACCGTGTCTCAGATTTTTGTCAAGTGGTTTTGTTATTTTGTTATAAGCAGTTGAAGTTAGGGATAGCAAATCATTAGCACTATCTGTGAAAAAAAATACTCTTACTTGAAAACGAAAAAAAAAATCAAAATTCGCAGACACAGTTTTTTAGAAAAACTATGTGACAGTAAGTTGGCCAAATTTCAGCCAAATTGGTTCACGGGTTGCCGACTTGGAGTTTAAAACGTACCCTCAACTTGCTCTGATTTTCATTTCGAGAAAACAGGGGAAAAAGATTTTTGGCGGCGTATTGCCCGTGACGAGATTATAACAGATTATAACACCAAAGCTGTCAATGTTGATGCATACCAGAAAAGGGACAACAATAGTGACACAGCAGGAAAAGGTTACAAACGAAACCCAACAACAGATGAACAATTTATTTCCAACGCTCTGCTCTGTTCGATCCTTCTGTTGTCGTGAAAGCATCTTTAGTTATTGGCGACGGGCGGTTTTCATTTTGAGCCAAGCCAACTTTTACTCGATACATTTTCTAAAAGTTCGACACTTCCCTGGAAAAATCGACAACATACCGCTTCCTGGAGTTTTTCTTGAAGCTGCTCTCCCGCTACAATAGACTTTCAAACGTCCGATTTTTATATGGCGCGGGACCGGTCGCGAATTTGTCGCTTGCTTGGCCGCTTCGTGACCTAAAAAGCTCGCTCCGCTCGCTAAGAAACTCGTGAAACTCGATTTCGCGGTAGTTTCAATGGGTTTTTCAGAAGCTTTCATCTTTTAGCCATTTTTCTTGTTTGTAGTAGGAGCCCTTGTCACTCTCTGCTAATTTCGAAACCCACACTTTGCAAAACGATTTTGTTTTAAAAGTAACTGATTCTGAGTACTGGCTGATTGCTTTCTCAATAAATCATAATTTCACTATTATAAATCTCGCTTGATATCCCCGGTTGCTGCAAAAGAATAAATAAAATTTATTCAACCTTCGTTCTGCAGCGACTGGGAAGCGTATTGAAGTGTCGAAACCACAAGTTTTGGAAAGCTGTAATTTCATATAAACTGATGCATTTCTCATGAAAAAGGCCGTCTTTGTCATACGCAAACCCGGAAGTAACAGGCATGGCTCTATGCTAGACATTCGACTCAAACATATTTTTAATTGTTTATAGCTTTTGTCCTCGTATGGAAGAAATTATTCTCTATTGTAGGAAATCATTAAAAGAAATTATTTTTTCCCAAAGACTTTTTTTAAAAAGTGATTATGACTGCAATTCAAAATTTACACGTTCAATTATATATGAAACGAAAACTGAACATATTTACTTCCTTAAAATTTGGTAAAGTAACTGTTGGTATCCTTTTTAAGCTCTTTCATGGTCGTACTGAAAGCGTGTGTCCCCATACGCTTGATTTATTGCGCGTTGTTAGTGATTAAAAAATGTAAACACGTTTAATTGCAATCTCGGGGGTGTCTTAATGGACGAATGGTAGACCGCCAGCTAAAGATAGTTTCGTTTTTTGGTGCAGACTAAGTATTAGGAAGCTTGAAAATCTTTTTCCTCGAGCGCAAATTTAAAATTGGAAAACTGGACACATTTGCAATTTAAATACTAACGATCGCTTCGCTGTTTTGTCTCATTGGTTTGGTAGTTTCTTGGAAGGAGTTTCTGAATTTCTGTGTTTATTTTGTTTCTGATTACTTTTGTTCTGTTTCGTTTATTTTTTTGCTTTTAAAACGTACAGGTTTATTAAAGTCAAGTATGAGGGACAAATTGTCTCTTCACGATGATGTTGACGTATTACAACGAAAAGCAGAATTTACGTTTTTTGATTAGGTTAGTCAATACTGTTTGGGAGACGTACCCTGAATAGTGTAACCTCGACGGCGGAGTCGTAATCACCACTGCAGATTAGATTGCTAATGTTTGTTTCTTTCACTCGCAGTTTTTGCTTCGGCAATGCATGGCTGTAAGCTCGAAAATTGTCTCAATCATGCTCGAATTCGGAAAGTGGAAAAATGCCACTTCGTAATTGTTCACCCGCGTTTGCTAACAGTTTGCCTTATCCGGTACGGGAGATTTCCCTGTCTTGAAGAAAAAGACAGATCCTTTGTGATCACCTGGGTGGGTATACGACCAAAGGAAGAAGTGGAGTGGGAAGAAAATACCCCCTTCCCTACAACTTTTTTTTGCCCTCACTCCCATGGTCGCGTTTTAGTCGCTATGTGAAATCGATATAGGTTGGGTTAGCGAACCCTAAAAGGGTGCGGCGAGTCGTGAATTCTATGCCTCGCTATCGATTTCCCAACTTCACGATTCAGAGGTCGCAAAACAATCAAACGAAAATTAGAGTCTTCTGTCTAGGAAAGAGTGTTGTATTGTAATTGTTAAACGTCGATATGAGGTAAGATTGCCGTGTTTCCTTACTTATTATTAAGACCGAATCAGCTTTTTGTTTGACCCTAGCGTTCCGCGCAATAATTATAGACTGCATTTTTTCTCGATATCCCAGCTCCAACTTGTGTTCTCTCAGTTTCATTGATTTGTGATGCCCTCTCTGTTTTGTCATTCAGCTAATCGTAGGCATTAATCACTTTCAGCGGCCGAGTCCAAAAAATAGAGGAATTTCGCTTCATTTTGTGGAAACGTAAGGGTGTTTAAAACTAATTCAGCTTCAGTATGATCATGACTACCACAATAGTTCAATGATCGTTTCCGGGAAAGCATAAACGGAAACTCTGGTATTTACATCCTGCTATTTACTGAGATCTCGGTGAAGTGGAGCAGTTTAAGGCGGTTATCTATTTTCTTAACTTACGAGGAAACATGTGCATTGTCACTGCATTGTATGCGTGGTTGTTTTGTCATAATTGAGAGAGAATAAGCTGATTTCATCCTTGTAAGCGAGTTCTTCCAAAGATGAGCTGAGCTGTTATCATCACATGATTGCAACAGATCGATTTCAATTGTTCTCCTACTGGCTTTGAGATCACTCGGAAGGCTTTTGTGACATCACCTGCGCCAACACACTCTATGAGAGTCGATGAATACGAAGGTTCCTATATTTTAGCAGCAAGAGTCTACGAAGGGTCGTCATTGAGGAGAAACGAACGGTTCAATCTGAGGATGTCATAAAATAAAACAATTTTTTTTTCGGGTATTGCTGAGACACGGTCGGCGGTGTGAATAATGGAAATGACCAAGTCGGTAGAAGCCACAATGTAAAAGTATTGGCTATGAATACATGTAATACAGTAAGCTCCTTACATCCCCCAGCCGCCATTCCTCAAACAAAAGGATAAACGGCAACTGTCATAGATTTTCTTCCGGTCTAAAATAATATTGATGATGATGCCGATTACCATTGGACTTAAATAATAACTTTCCTGATCGTACAATCGTAAAGATAGACAAGATAAAACTGAGAAAGAAAAAACTTAAAATGTTCAAACTTTGCAAAGAAACTATTGTGGTTCGATTCTACTGAGAATTTTTTCCTTTGCACTCTACATTAAGACGTTGCCACCTAAAAAGCTTAAACGAAGAGATGGATTTATGATGAGTGTAAGTTTAGCCATGCAAAATTTATTCACATTTTACTTGTTTTATTACAATAGCTGTCTGCTCCCCGTTGGAACACATTTCCACAAGGTTCCAACTGTTTCCACTTTTCTTCTCGGTTTTCTTGACAACCATGCAAACATCATGATCAGAGTTGACATTGCGCGCGCAATCTGTAAGGAAATGTTTTTCCCTGCTTCTCAGACTTCTGCAAGCGTGCTGATTTTGCAGCCTCGACCGGGGTTTCATCAACCTTCAAGGAAACACTGAGCAGGAAGAAATGATTAAGATATGACTCTTGTAACTATGTTCCTTTATACCATAATGCAAATGCAGTAATATCATCACTGTCTTATCGTTAGCAGTTTAAGCTTTTCAGGTTGCAACAGGTAGACTATGCAAAAATGTGGTCACCCGGTTGTTCACAATATGGAATAGTTTTAATCTGACTTACAAATGTGTTTCCTGGCTGTTACAGTGAGAAATCTATCGCCAAGGCACAAGCAGTTGTGAGGCTCTATAACAAAGAAAAAAGACACTCGGAATACTCTGGTGGCTCAGAAGGAATCTCAACTGTCCATATTTATCATCATCCCGTCAACAACACATACAGAATAGTTGGCAGACTGGAAAAAGATCTGTCGGTATGTTTGCCCTTGGTTAATGTTAAGAGTTTTTTCCTTTACCTCCTATCAGCTAGGATGAAACTGTGCTTAAGTTATACACAATGGCTTTTTCCAACGACTTAACAGACAGACGACCATTAACGTTGTGTCACAATTGATTCATCAGGTCAATAATTAGAGTTTAATACTAGGATGGCAAACCCTAAACTCATTTTAATCCAGTCTCCTTTTAATGATGACTTCTTCATTGGTTGCCGAAACACGTCAGTCATAACTATTGTCTTTTTCAGGACCGCACTTAACCTGACGATTGCCTTTCAGCCCTTTATGTTGATATAAAGTCAACTCCCCCTCAAACAACACTTATATGGGATAGACAGTTCTCTAATAAACCTCTTTATAAGGTGGACAACTTTCAGGCTACGATACTGGAAACTTATAACCGTACCAACATTGTCCACCCCTGCCCAAGAGTCAACTGGACAGTAAAGTGCTGACGTGCACTACATTAAAAAATCTCAGTGTAGGTTTTCAGAGTCCATATGACCTTAAGGTGTTAACCAGGTGGGAATCTTGGTGTCCACTGAAAACCCAGTACCCTGCGAGCAGAGGCTTTTCGATCAGTTCCTAGATAAGTCGGGAAGATCGAAGAGCCTCTGCTCGCAGGGTAGATACCCAGGATGTTAAGAAAAAGAGGTATTATTATTATTATTATTGGAAATGTTGATGTTATGTTGGCTGGTTTAAGTGTCTGGACTTATCTTTTGGGAATCTCTCAACTGAGAGGGTTCACTTTATTAAACTAACGTACTGGAGACCAGATTAACAACTGTAGGTCTTCGTGGACTCTTCCTACTTATAACTTCCTGGAAAAAAATGTGGTTAGACAATATTTTATGTTGCAGGTAGTTATAAACTTTGCATTGGTAAAAGGATTAGTCTACGACCAATCAACACCAACTTTTCACGAATGGAGAGACCAAAGTCAAGTTTACGGTTTGCATTTTGTAAGCGAACAGGATGCCCAAGTTTTTGGAAATGCTGTGTCTACCTCGCTGGAAAACCTTAAAACTATTGGTAAGGCATTTAAATGTTGCAGCAATTTTTTATTTATTCCTCATGCTGTTACAAGCTTATCAGTGAAAACGTGTCTGAATCACAAAGCGGAAAAATGTTTTGATAAAAAAAATACAGATACACCACATGTTTGACACGGGACAACCACGAACAACGAAAGTACGTAGTACAAGAACTTATTAACAACTTAGTTACTAACTAAAACTTTAAGATAAGGGAATGAGGATTATTCCGAAATGTTGACGCAGGGATCAATTTACTTCCTTCACTTTAGAGGAGAACCCGGCCTTACGTTCGCCCCCTTAGGCTTGGTTAAACTTTACTAGCAAAATTTCGACCATAATGAGCGACTTTTAATGCACGTACTGTAGTGACATTTTCGAACAGAATTTGAGCAGAATAACAGTAAATACGAGACACTAAGTATATGCAAAACAGTTGTAAGAAAAAAAATGAAAACCTAAATACGAAACAAATGAAAGTAATTAAACACAGGGCTTAAGATTAATGCGATTATTAGCTCTCAATGACGCTCGCATGATTCCTTCACATTCATCATTTATTGACTAGAAATATATAACAATTATTCACCGAAGTGGTGGTGGTGGCTAGTGATGAGTATTTACCGAGCCAGCGGCGAGGTAAAAACCACCACTAGCCACCGACACTGAGGTGAATAATTGTTTTAGTATATACTAAAACAGTGAGATAATTGAGCAGAAAAATGATGATTTTTAACTCATTTACTGTTGAACGATTACAATTTTGGCGCGCAATGACCGAGCGGCCGCGGTCGTCGCTTTTTCTTGCCGACAAATAAAACTTTTGAAGGCATTTGTTTAGCTCTTGCGGGGAAATTTCTTCAAAAGGAGTTGTGAATTCTTCGTGTATTTAAAATCATTCTATAAAGAAACGATTAAATTTAGTTTTAAGTTTATTTATGAACAAGTCAACTAAATAAAGTAACGCAAGACTTAAGCTTAATTTGTATTTGTAAACAAAAACCTTTTTCACTGGTTTTATCGATACATTCAAGTCAAAAAGACAAAGTTTTATACCTATCAAAACTTCCAAACCGAACTTCATCACCTTCTTCGTGTATTTCGGGAACAGCTTTCTTGATCAGTTGTGAAAATTCTTTGTTTGTTACGGTAGCAAACCGGGAAGGCATTTTGCTCGCAACTTACGAGTCGCTCGCTCAGAGGAACTGGAGGTGAATCAGTGAATAGTTAACGATTATTCTTTGAAATCGAGGTGAATAGAGGCAAAATATACACACGAAGTGATCTCAACAAAATCGGAGAGGAAACCATTAAAAAGTACGATTTGATTGAGAGACAGGTCAGCTAGACACGCGACAGTTTAAAAATAGATCTTTGTAGAATTTTCAAACATGGCAATTCACAAGCTTATCACTTCGCAAACAACAGCGTAATGACGTAAATGGAACCTCTAAAAGTTTGAATTGTTTCCTTACCTGAGAAGAAAAGAAGAGCTTTGTTGTTTTCTGTTGACTCGCCAAGATTATAGCCGAAAAGGTTTGTTGTATCGTTCTTCGCATGAAGTGTTGACAAAAATGGCGATTCCGTTCCTTGAGGTAAGACGTCGTCTTCATGTAGCATTCTTTCTCGTGTTTACTTGAAACGTATAGAATTTCTACAAACATTTGCTTTCAAATTTGTTTGTCATAAATAAACTTCGTCTTTGGGCCAATTTTTTCTTGTTAGGAAACGCTGAGTTCACGAAACGGCCTCTTCTAGGCGAACAAACGGGAGTTGTAAACAATCCATCGATCACAAAACTCAACAACAGTAAATGGAAAAACGCCGTTTTGAATCCTTCGAAGTCTTTTCTTGCCTGAAAAAAAGGCAACCCTAGGAAATTGTCGACTTTTAAAAGATCTTTCTCTAAGAAAATGGGGAAAAAACCGAGCTCACACATTATCCACTCGCTGGGAGGTGAATATTGTTGAATAGTCCGAGATAGCGAACCAATCAGATTGCTCAAATCACCAAGATCACTGAGTGTGTATATACTAATGCAGGATATTCACTGATTGAGTAGCCAATCAGAACGCGCGAAAAGCACTATCCACTACTTCAGTCTATACTAAATAGATTTAGCCAAGCCCAAAAGTGAAGCTCTCGAAGTATCTTTTAAGAAGTGTCTGTAAGAAGTAATTCAAATTTCGCTACAAGCAAAAAGCAAACTGGATTCCTCCCGAAAAATGGACCTAAGCCTGCTATCAATTGAAATCCAACATTTGGTCAGCGAAGAACTTTAAAAAACAGGTCACCACAATGAGAATGTGCACCTGAGTTCGCGATACGATCATGTGGTACTGATTAGCAGATACCCTATTTTGACAGCTGTCAACTGACCATAACCTGGATGTCCAATATAAACGGTTGAATACAGATTGTATATGCCCTTATTGAATTCCAAGTCAGGGAAACTTAGAGACATCCGCAAGCATGAAGGGACAGATGTACGTACTGACGATTTTTTCCTCACCAAAATTTCTTGGATAAGAAATAGGGAATTCAGGTGTATGCTTCTGCTTGAATGCATAGCTAACCAAATTTTACTATCCATTATGCTCCGCTGCGCGCGCTTCGCGTTCGAGAGAGCTCCGCTATGAGTAGTATTGTACAGAGTAAAATAAATTAGAATTTTGCTATGCATCATGCACTCACGGAGTGCTGCAAGGGTAGGTCCTCGTACCGCTGTTATTCTCACTCTTTACATAGGACCTCCCAAAATCACTACGCTCTGAGGAAACTTATCTGTATGCAGACGGCACAACAATAAACTGTATCGCAGAAACGATGGATTTGCCAACAAACACACTAAACAATGTTCTAGCTGAACTCAGAAATTTGATGGTACCACACCCAGAAAATTGTAAAGCAATGATCATGCAGCGGAAATCAACATTCACTGACCCTATCCAAGCTCTTCGTCTTGGCAACAACATCATAAAGTGGACAACCTCAGAAAGACTCCTCGGAGTACAAGTTGATAACAAGTTGTCCTGATCAGATCATGCTGCAAATATAGCGAAGTCCTTTGCATCCAAGTTAAGTTTACTCCGACGCATGCCATTCCTTTCTCGGAAGGCAATTAGACACAGAAGTGATACTGCCATCAGTTACATACGGTCTGACAGTGTGGGGATCGTGCAACAAGACTCACATAAACACCCTGGACAAAATCCATGCAAGGGCTGGACGAATTGTATGCGGGTTGCTATGGGACACTAGCGCTGAAGAGGTCTTAATGCAAACTGGATGGGACAGTTTGGAAACAATGTACAAAGTCCCATTTAAAGAAGGTTACACTGTCACGGAACTTAAAGATTGGTTTTTACAGAGGAATTCAGGCCGCAGAAGAAATCAGAACATCATTCTTCCAAGACCAGAAACGAATTTAATGTTATAAGAAACTCCATACGTTATAGAGGAGCAACCGCATGGAACAGTTTAACGAACCAGGAAACAAGGGCTAAAACCTTGAACGGAAATTTAAACGCTGTCTTGAAAAAATTTATCTATTTCTCTATGAGTATTTGTAGTTAATGTCACTATTCCGCTTGTAAGATACGCATGTAAGCGTCACGCAGTAAATGACGCACGCAGACTAAGTAAACAACGACTCCATGATGGCGTAATAAGGGGGTGGGTGGGGGGGGACACAGCCCTGTGGCAGGTTATAGCGACTTCGGGTTATGCGCACAAAATAACAGAAGCCTTACTTATCGCCCCACTACCCTGGGGTAGGAGAAGAGTCTTGGCAGAGCCTTTCTTATCTCCCCAGCGCCGCACGGGCTGGATCAGACGCAGGCAAAGGAATAGCTCAAAAGATGGCAAGACACAAGCAATGCCAAAAGCTTAGGGGAAGTCGCAACGCAGACTTAACCGCAGCACAAGGAGTGACCCACCAAAATTTATTGAGACATAAAACAACAACGACTCCTCCAAAGGGAGGGAGGGCGGGTAACAAAACTACTTTAAATGATTGCTTTCGTGCAAGCTAACCAAATAATGACTAGGAATGGCATTGTCAAAGCTTTATAGTCAGACAGTGTCTCAAAATACGGCCAATAGGCACAGTTGTACTATTAACTATCTCAACTCATCATGACTAAGGTCTGGCCATGAATAGAACGGAATAGGGCTTTGAAAACAGGGACCAATCTTTGCGAAGCTAAGAATATACGATGTGAAGTATATATGAACAGGAGCCCATCAAATTTGATGGGCTCCTGATATGAAATAATTCATTTTTGAACTGCGGTTGTAGATGAAAGTGAAGAATGATCGTCGCAGTAAATTTTTCAATTTAAGCAAATGGAAAGAAGAAGCCTGAAAAAAATCAGGGCTTCAACGGGATTCGAACCCGTTAGCAACGCACCGGTAACGCGGAGGTCACGGGTTCGAATCCCGTTGAAGCCCTGATTTTTTTCAGGCTTCTTCTTTCCAATTGCTTACATTGGAAAATTTACTGCGATGATCATTCTTCACTTTCTTAAAATATACGATGACAAACATGCGACAACTTAGTGAGGTTCTAGCCATGAAAAGCTTTTGTTTTCTGCTTAAAGAATAGAGTGCTTTCATTTAATGAATGAGCCTAAGCAGAGGCAGGCTTCCTCTGCCTATCCCCCTGGGGCTTCATGCTCCATTAACTGCATTTACCCGCTGGTAAATGCCTCATTAGTATTTAGGGTTTAGGCCACGTTTTCCTATTATATTTCCCATATTTGGAAAACTACATATGGTCCAAAGGGCCGAAAATTTTTCCCATCTCGAAAGAAAATGAAAAGAATTTAATACGTATCTGAGTAGATTTCACGAAGTAAGTGATTTTTACAAGTATTGCTGGCAAGCAGAATACTCAACCATCTTACAAGCAGAACATGTGGTGTTAAGCCTGTTCCTCGTTTACACCATCACTGACCCTAACTTCAAAAACCAAAGAATTTCGTACTCTTAAAACTTCTTTTTAATTTTACGATCAGGGTTTCAAGAGTTAAAGCAGTTTGATCCTCTATCTTATGCGAGTAATGGGACAAAGAAACCAGATGAGGTATCCTCACGTCATCGAGATCAGCCACAGTTTGATGCTTTTGACAAGTATTCACCTGGAGAGGCACAGAACGAGATGCAACGTGAGAGACAAAGACCTGGTGTAAGTTTTGCTTTGTTGCCATGTTTCTTTTGTGTCTTGGGGAACAGCGTGCGACCTTCACTCACTTATCGTCGGTAAATTGTCGTAATGACATTCATTCATTTATTTACTCAGAAGTTTAATGACGCATGACTCAAATGTACCACTAGACTGCGCTGCAGGCTCTTGCAAGTAATATGGGCCTGTATTTCCGTCGCGCCCTCCTTTCTCTCTGTCGCACCCTTAACTTCCTACATCTGCTATGCAGGCTAATGTTCGACGCTTGGGTGGGGAGAGCTTATCGAGGCGAGTATTGTAACAAAACACATCATACTAATACATGAAAGTAATACAAACGGACTTCTTGTCAGTGAAAGGAGAAATAAAAAAGAAAGAAAGAAAAAGTAGAAGAAGAAGAAGGAGAAGAAAAGAAAACTCATTTTTAAGAAATTATAGCAAGCAAAATCACAAGAAGAATTTGCAAAGAAAAACCGGAGAACATTAACTAGCTAGTGACAATCTGTAAAGACTCATTTATGCACGTCATATGCTAAAATGTACATTACAGTTACAGAACCAGGGGAAACTTGCGAAATCTCTATCTAGGGGGTTTAATTTTCATGAATCATACAGTCATCCATTTTATTGACAGAATAATTTTTTTAGGAAAGTGCAGTTCCCTCGCCGATTTCGCCAAGGCCACATCCAGTGAAACAATCAAGTAAGTTTCTACAAGGCACAAGACAGACTGCCTCAGCATTATTAAACAGGAAGAGGACGGAAGTCAAACCTCCCTAACCAGGCACTGTTATTGTCACTCAGTGTACTGGTTACAAATTATACCAGGCAATTGGACATGAATTACAAACTTAAATATCTAAGGATCTGTGTGGTCGATGAACAACTAACTGGTGTTCGAACAATACATCTGACTATAAACTAAAACTTGTCTGACAATTGAGAGGAGAAGTCGTTACGCTACGTTGCCATTATCGCAAAATTTCTGGATCTCAACAAGCCGTGGTCCTGCAAATCTGGCAGCCATGTCGATCAGTGCGCTCACATCTTTCTTCGCTGATCAGCCGAAATCGATTAATCGAGTGCACGGGGAGACCAGTATAATTCTAAATATGTTGATGCCACTGAATTGTAGTCAACAGTTTAATACTGTCACCGTACAAACGACTAATTGACGGACTAAACAATACACAACTGTTAAACTGTGACAATAAACGGATCGATACGCACCAATGACATTGAGAGTCTTCATAACCAATAACATCACGGCCTAACTGACAGACGACCAATAACATCGCGACTTAAGTGACCAATCAGATCAACAACCAGAGTATAATATCATCAACTGACGTGATACAACCCACTTTGACTCTGAAGATGACTACGGAACAGGTTGTAAAAACGTCAGTCACCGTCAACAGCAGTCCTATTAAGGACTACGTTCACCCGGACGATGCTCAACCTATTTATGAAATGACTCCCGGGTTCAAACCTTTCACTAGTTTTAAATTTTCTAATAAGGAGTTTTTAAGATGTCACTACGGTGACAGTAACGGCATCGAAAAAAAGCAATAGGTCAAGATTAGAAAAGCGACAACTTGTATGAACAGCACATACTTTTGTACATTTCTTTGCAGTTACTGCACAACTACGACGTCAATTAAACAAATAGACAACAATTATCCATGGTCTGTACTCTTATAGACTACAGAAATGACGTCAAAATGTTCAAAACTCAAGTGTAACCACGAGTTGCAGGCGAGCGGTTTCACTGTAGTTTCACAGCAAAGTTTTGAACTTTTGACTCCATTTCTACCGCAACATTGACAGTTTTGACAGCCATTTCCGTTGAAGTTTCTCGGACAATCGGGCACGCCGGAGAAAGAGAAAAACAAATTGTGTCACCATCCAGTTATTTCTATGGTCTGCATGGTCTGGTACATAGATTTTGACCAATCGACGCGCGAGGAATCGTTCAGTTAAGGTAAAATGTCTAATTTCATGTTTTATAGACCATGTGTACACACAACGACGGATTTCACTTTCTCTATGCAAACTTGGATATTTTTCTTAAGAATTCAACCCCAGGAGAGTTTCCTTGTGGCATATGACAAAGTGAGGGAGTTGACATAATCGATCTGAACTTTCAAAGAACACGAGGTCGCTTTTTATCCTTTTAGCTAGATGATGCTTTATCTTTTGTTGAGATTTAGAAGTTTTGCTACCATGGTAACATGCGGTCACACCTTGCCGGAGGATGTACGATGGCGTATGTTTTTGAGGCGAGAAAAATCAAGAACTATTGAGCGAAGTCTTGTAGTCTCGAGAGGTGGAGGGAACTTATAAAAGTATTACAGTACGTTGGTAGGCTTCGCCCTAAGGTCCATCCACTTACCCCTTCATATACAGCCTGTACCGTTAAAACAGAAGGTATCCCTATCGTATGCCTTCTAATGATACAAGTTTCACATACCTACGTAAGAACACTGAATTCAAAGGCCCTTTTAAGTACCTAAATGACAAATTTCCAACCTTTCATTCTATTCAACTCTTAATATCCCCACACTATTATGGGCCATTATAGGGAGTACCCCAACTTCTAATGCTTGAGAACCCCCCCGGAAAACGATTGTTGCAGGCTATGTGACTTAAACCCATAGTTTACCTGAAACCATTAGTCCAATAAATAGTCCTCATAGACTGATTGGATTGCTAAAACTAATTTTTTGTGGTTCAAAGGGTAAAATTTTTGACCTATTTATCTATCCATGTTCAGTTGTTCATGTCTGTCTCATATATCAGAAACCCGGCCATCTGAGATGACAAAAGATGAAGCTCATTCAAGCATCGTATCGGAGAGTAGGATCACAAACATGGCTTACCTGAACCAAGGAGAAGAGAAAGAAGAAAACGAGGAAGGTAAAGGCAAAGGCCAGGAAAGTTGGCACTTAGTTCAAAGATACAGATTCGATACATTTGGGGTTAGCATTTGACACCGAGGATATTCTTGGTATTGAGTTCAATCTAATGGATATTTATTCCGTGGGATGCCTGTGGCACCTCACGGTAAAAATCCGGTTCGGTTGTACCCAAAATTGCAAAGCCAGCCAATAGGATTGCCTAAAATCTTTATCGATTATCTCTTCTTCCAAGCCGACCAATCAGATTGTACAAAATCTGTATCGATTTTTAATCGATTTGCTTCCTCTGAAAAACGTTGAAATCAGAACGTTCCTTCCCAATTTTGTCGCGCTAGATTCAGGAGTTTTCCCACTCGTGGTTTAGGATGGCTTTTTAACCAGCGAAATCCTTCGGGATACCGGCAAGTCACGAAAGGCGACCTAAGCCAAATTATTTCTTTCCTTCATGATTCTTTTTTGTTCAGGTCTAGCTTTTTCATAAGGTTTTAGTAGCGTCTGGTTGCGGGCCATGATTTCCGATAGATTTTTCTATTCGGAGTTCGCCAGTTTTTGCCGAGCACAGCTAGAGTTCAGTTTTTTTCTTTTCTCATCGAAAACACCTTGACGATGGGAGGTTAAATTGCGTAAATTTCAACTCGTACCCTCGACGATTGGCGGTGAAATCGCGAAAATATTGTCCTCGTCGATCGACGACTCGCTTTCGGCATGGATTGGACACGGATCAGGACCTTAGTAAACTTATTATACCTTGGAATCAGGGATAATCATTAGAACTATGTTAACTTTGAGACCTTGGAAACACATTGCAATTAATTTTTAACCGTTTCAAGAGCATCTTGAATATTAAACTTTCATCTTGGATTAAAACATTGGAACTTTATCTAACTTTGTAACCCTGGGTTCGACCCTGGATAAAGCAAGCGGATGTTTTGTTTTGTTTTGTTCCATTAATCCAAAACTACAAGGTTTATTTCTCTTTGAAAAAGTTACCTGTTGCAACTTACTACCAAGATATGACGTATCTTTATACAGAGAGCATTATGCGCATGTTCTCCATTAGTTGTTTCCGTTAACATTCCAATGTAAGTTACACGGGTAAACCTTGTTTTGATGCAAAATAACTTCTTTTTCTTATCCAAATCGTGCTATGAAAATAACTACATAGCGATAGATCAAAACAAGATCAACTCCATCCTTGCGACCACTGACAACTATAAATTTAGCTTGCGTAGCAGGTATTGAAAGGGGTAGGGGATAGAGAGGAAGCAAAAAGGGGATGTGGATTGGGGAGAAATAGTAGCCTGCCACGCAGGCTACTATAAATTCAGTCATAACCACATTAAACCAACCCATACAGGTAACCTACTCATCGATGCTCATAACATGACACATCTTTCCAGTTTCACGTAATATATCAAACATGAGACGCAGTGTTTCATCACCAGATGAAACACCGAGAAGAGAGTTGAAAATACGACGCGCAGCGAAGTATTTTTGACGAACTTCGAGGTGTTTCATCTGGTGATGAAACACTGTGTCGAATGTTTGATATTTCGTCTCAAACAAAATCATTTTTGAAGGAGAAATTAAGGATGCAAATACTGAGCAGTTTTTCATCCGATTTCCAAACACTCATTAAACATTAATTTTCTTTGTATTTTCTTTATGAATTATTAATGAGTTTGAGAATAATATTTCCAAATTCAGATAGAACGCCACTATGCTTCCATAGACCAACGCATCCCACGGAAACGACTTTAGGCATCTTGTCCTCAGTTTAGTTTAGAAAGGAAATGAGTGTTTGTAAATCAGATGAAAAATTCCTCTTGTTTGCATCCTTAATTCTTCTTCGTGTTACATCTAACACTATGAAGAAGTGAGGTTTTTTTTAAAGCGGAGGCTCCATTGCTATAGAAATCGGAAAACTATCGTCAGCGGACGCCTGTCCGTCCGTCGCCTGTCCGCCCCTACAGACTGGCAGGGAGGGACTAAGTAGACACGAAATCTTCACCTCTTTCCCTAGAGAGTTTTTTGTCGCCTATTTTTTCAAAAGACTTTAGAACTGATTGGCTAATCAGAATCTTTCTACTGAGTATAATAAATAGATTTAGACAGGGCTAAAAGCGATGCAGCTCTCGTTAGTATACAAGCATTTCTCAAAACAGAAACTTTTGTAAAGATTTTTAGAAACAGTTCAGACGTCGGACTACTCGCCTTACTTGAATAAACCTGAACTGTTGTTGTTGTATATGTTTCATAATTGAATTGTTATTCACGCTCTTATTCATTACTTGCCGTTAAAGACTTTTGCACTGTGCTGCTGTTTTCCCCATGCATCATTTCGCGAATACCGCTTGAATGAAGTTTGATACCTTTGTGTACCCTTTCTATCCTCGCCGAAAACAAGTATCTTAAGGTGGCTCGACTGGATTTTTTTTAGGGGGATACCTCCCAAGTTTGAGCCTTAACTACGTCCGCATGAGTAAAGATATGGAAAAAAGGTTACCACAACTGTATTACATAAAGATGAAAATTTCTTATGATCTGGGTTTTATTGCAATCGGAGTCGCCATGGCAACGTAATGACGCCATTACGTTTTTCATTTACTGTTGTGTTTCTCTGTACCAGGAGTTTTTTGAAGAAATCGCTTAAGGGAGTATGTACCCGCAATAATTGCCTCCATTATGGTAAAGTTTGAAGAAATTCTATGAGAGCGTTTTCGAAATATTTTGAAATGCAGTTTCAAGAATCATAAAAACAGTGAAATAGCATGCTAGCCGCACAATTCGCTAATATTTTAAGAAAATGATAAGCTTTGGGAACGCGGCTTCATCTCATAGTGGTTTGATTCCATTGAAAACTGCATACAAAAAAAAAGGGGAATTAATCTGGGCGATCGCGAGTAACAGGAATTTTATTAACTTGCATTCAGCTGCTTTTGATACAGTTTTAGGAGGTAATTTGGTCCATGCCTAAAAATTTCGCATTTTTCCAAAAACGGTCGATAAATTTTTTTATAAATTCGACAATTCCGAGATCAATTGTCAAGAAATATTCCCTGCAAGTTTCAATAACATTGAAAACAGGGAAGGCTTTTGAATAGGGCCTCAAATATAGCCAATTTTCCCCCTAGATTTTGTGTTTACATGCGAGCGTCCTCATTATTCACTGGCATTGTTTTCAAGTTTCATATACACGTGCACATTTAGCAAAAAGATAGAATTTGCATCAAAAAGGACCCTCGGTTAAATCTCCGGGATATGCTAATTACCGTGTAAAGAGGTAAGTGATACATTATAACATCAGAGCAACTCTTTGTGAGAGTTTCTGTGATGTTATAACCCGATTAAGATAATTAATTATTGCATCCTACACGATGAGCCGTGACGTTCACCGTTTCGGCTCTCACTGCTATCTGTGACGACAAGCCAATTATTAGCATATACCGGATATTTCTTCGGAGAGTAATCGACAGTTCTTTTTGATGCAAATTTATATCTTTTGCTAGTTGTGCACGTGCATATGAAACTTGAAAACAATGCCAGTGAATAATGAGGACGTTCACTTGTAAACACAAAATCTGGGGGGAAAATTGGTTATGTTTGAGTCCCTATTTAAAAGCCTTCCCTGTTTTCAATGTTATTGAAACTTGCAGGGAATATTTCTTGACAATTGATCTCGGAATTGTCGAATTTATAAAAAAATTTATCGACCGTTTTTGGAAAAATGCGAAATTGTTAGGCATGGACCAAATTACCTCCTAAAACTGTATCAAAAGCAGCTGAATGCAAGTTAATAAAATTCCTGTTACTCGCGATCGCCCAGATTAATTCCCCTCTTTTTTTGTATGCAGTTTTCAATGGAATCAAACCACTATGAGATGAAGCCGCGTTCCCAAAGCTTATCATTTTCTTAAAATATTAGCGAATTGTGCGGCTAGCATGCTATTTCACTGCTTTGATGATTCTTAAAACTGCATTTCGAAATATCTCGAAAACGCTCTCATAGAATTTCTTCAAACTTTGCCATAATGGAGGCAATTATGGCAGGTACATACTCCCTTAAGCGATTTCTTCAAAAAACTCCTGGTACAGAGAAACACAACGATAAATGAAAAACGTAATGGCGTCATTACGTTGCCATGGCGACTCCGATTGCAATAAAACCCAGATCATAAGAAATTTTCATCTTTATATAATACAGTTGTGGTAACCTTTTTTCCATATCTTTACTCATGCCGACGTAGTTAATACTCAAGCTTGGGAGGTATCAACCCAAAAAAATCCAGTCGAGCCACCTTAAGTGAGTAATAGTTTTCCTTTCTTCTAACGACAGACTCGTCGGCTTTTCCAGCCCGAGTTCGCCTTTTTGAAAAAGTTTTAAGTTGTTGTAACGTTTATAATTTGTAGCGTATTAAGTCTATCGCACCGCGCGACATCTGGACAATTACCGCACAGTTTGTGTAGGTTAACGAATTATTGTAATTAGTAGTTAAAGAAAAAGGTTAAATAGGTTATTTTCTGTCCTAGGTCTGTCCCCCCTTCCAAAAAAAACAACCGCCAACATGGTAAAATTGTCTAAAATCAGATATTGTGAGGTATCAATGTAAAGGCTAGACACAACTGTTCGTCCAGGCCCGATAAGAAAACACAAAATTAGCCTACGGGAACACAAAAGTCGGCATGATTTTTCTTTAAGGTCTTCCCGTAAGACAGAAATACTGACCCTAGAAAACGTTACCGGTAAATCGTCGCTACTGAAGAGACCTATGACTTCGCAAAGTGGTGTGGTGGGGGTTTCAATGATGTAGTTCGGAAGAATACTACTATACTGCAATCGAACTTGAAACATAGTGACTTTCTTGCTGTAAACAAACAACCTTCAGCTTGCTGGAAGAGGTTTTTCATTTTCAGGTGTGTTTGCGAGTTCTTTTTTCTCAATCAACCAATCCCTGCCTTAAAAGGTGAACTGATGCCAAAGGTTTCTACAGTTAAGTAGGGATTTGAAGATTTTTTTCTAGTGGGTTAGAGTAAATTAGTTTAAAGTTAATTTCTTTAATTATAATTGTGATGAAATACTGTATCGGATGCTTGACAGGTGGTTTGATAATCATATCAAACAAGGTGATTTTAGAAGGGGAAATTAAGGATGCAAAGATAAGGAGTTTTTCATCTGATTTAACATTGATTTCCTTTGTATTTTCTTTATGAGTTTGAGAACCCTGTAGTGACAACTCTTGAATGTGCTATAGTTGGAGTCTTCAATTTTAAACAACATGTGAACGTTAACGATGTGCGGTCTATATACGTGGCACGAACATTATTTTTGAATAAAAACTTTTTTTAAAACGTCAGCTTTCCAAGGATAGATACTTGATTCTATATGGGAAATGAAATGAATCAGAATTCCGAAAAAGGACGCAACTGTCTTCAAAGAACAGCAAATTGGACATATTCTGTCTTAAACAGGGCTAGGATTTGGAGGCTTTGGTGGCACACCCCTAGTCAAACTTTATTGAATACCCACCGACCTTGATGGAAACCATGCTCAACGATAAGAAAATCACCAAGAAATCGCAGTGAAATGTCTACGGAATCACATGAGAATTGCCTGAAACATATTCCGTGAAAGCAACCTAGGGAGACAAAGAGAAGTCTGTTATCAGGGACACCCAACGTCAATTTTCGAAAAATATCTGTTCGGAAGACGATTGGAGATCTAGAATTTTCGGAACATTTGTTGTAAAATTCCTTACTTGCCTGCCTCTCCTATGATTTCGAACATCTAAAAAATGGTATAATTCCCCTTTTTCAACGGATTTTTACCCGAAAAGGTCACCTAGAATTTTCGGTAGCCTTTTTTCTGGCTGAAATTTTCGAAAACGTAAGTTTTGATCCCTATATTTTTCGGATCACTAGACTTTCAGGTAGGGAATCCGAACAGATGAAAAATTTTTAGGGGATAAATATATGCCTATATCTTCCGTTTAAATACTAAAACACGTTTAATAATGCTATGTTTAAGTGGTTTTGAACTATAGTCTCGTTGCGCGCCCCTGTGTTATTAACTTTTGACTAACTAGAAGTCACCAAAGATTATTGCTTTACTGCGCTCTGTTCTTTTCCTTATGTTTCTCATTACCTTGGTACTGAAATACTTACGAATGGCCAATGACTGTTTTCTTAACTAATAAAAGAAATTGAATAAAAATATGATTTAAGACAGATATGATAGATTACAGAAACTTATAATCAAAAGGTCACAAATAATATTTTTCATGACATTTTTTAGAAATATCAAACGGTGGTACTGGACTAGCATTTTCTGGTGGTGGCATCAGATCAGCGGCCTTTTGCTCCGGAGTCCTGTGCAGTTTACTTAAGAGTGGAGTTGAAGTGGATTATTTAAGTTGCGTGTCAGGGGGTGGCTTCACAGGCGCAGCTTACCTGGACTGGAAATGTCACGAAAAAAAGAAAGTTGACAGCGGAGAAGGCCAGGGTAACGGAGACTGGCACGAGGATTTCTTTAACCACATGAAAGACAGATCAGGATACATCTGTGACTGGACTGGCTTTTGTAAAGGCCTCTGGGACACCTTAGTCTTCTTCACCCTCATGGCTCTAGTATTGGTCGTCCTCCCAGTAATTAAATGGGGAACGTATGCATTTCCAGTAGCGGTTATGATTGATCTCTTCTGGATTGGAAATTTGATGCGAAAGTCAGCTGACTGCGATGCCGCCTTAGAGGGACAAAGAGGAATTAATGCGTCTGCAGTGCCTGACAAAGACCTCATCGACCGTTGTCTTAGTGGAAATCACAAACGTGATATAACTATACTCTTTTGCTCTCTGTTTGCTGGTTTTGTTGTCCTTTATGTCGTCATCTCAAAACTTAAAAAAGAATTTTTGAAGTATCCTTGCTTAAAAAGCGTTCTGCTACTGTTTGAATATGCTGCCGCTTGTGTGTTAATATTCACGTTTATCCCGTTCACAATTTATGACTTTTTTGCGAAGATCGCTTTGTGGCAACAGGTTTTGGTTGGAAGCATTGCTGTGATTGTCTGGGTTGCTATTCCCTTCCTGCGTAAAAAGACCTCATATGTCCTGATAGTCTATGCTTATTCTTTTGTTATATATTGGAGGGTGTTTAGAGTTGACGTGCCAGTTTTCTTTTTTAAACACGAGGATCACGTGTCTCATTGGCTGCTGTTTTTCTCTGGAGTTGCCTTGATGATTTCTTTCTTCACGACAAATTTGAAAGAGGAACTCGTGCATCGCTATTTCAGGTAAGAAAAATATAGGTCCCACAACTAGAGGAAGTACAACAAGGATCTTTTAAGGGCCCGTCACGATAATGCATATGAGCGACGACTGTGATTGAATTCTCCGGTGGGTCGGAGGAACAGAAAAGTTATACGCAATCTTTAATCACTAAAGCTGTATAAATCGTTAATACAGCTTTTGCAGAACAGTTTTGAAGAGATGGACAAAAAAAGCATGTTTTCTAGGGAGCTGTTTTGGAAATTGTATTATCGGATTCCGGAATCTGGAGAATTTGTGCTTGTGGAATCCGAAATCCTGGGCTTTGGAATCCGGAATCCGGAATCCCTGAAGATTCGAGTCCGCAATTCAAGTTACACTGATAAGGATTCTGGAATCCAGTACCTGGAATCTGGAATCCACAAGCGAGGAATTCTGAATCCAAGATCGTACATGGGGCTAGCTAAAAAATAATTTGATTTTTCAGATGGAGGGTACAGAAAGCGTTTTTTCACGAGAAAAATAACACGAAGCCCCTGACCCTAGCAGATCTGGCAGGCACGAAGCCCGAGTATATATCCAACATTGTTGTGAACCGTTGGAAGAACAACGAGAAAGACAAAACGAACTATACCCTGTTAACTATGTCACCCTCGGGTATACAGCGTTTTGACCAGCAAGGAAAAAGACAGTTCGAAGGCAAACTGGAACCAAAAGACGTCATGTTGTCAGAGGCCATGGCGACATCTGCAGCAGTACTTTCTAGTCACATGGGAAAATATGAAGAATCTGTTGAAGGATTGACTCGTCTTCACACCATTCTTGGACTTGACATGGGTGCTACGATGATAAGTGATAAAGGATACCGAAAGAAGGTAGCATATTGGACACATTTTCGTGATGAATTTCTCTCGATTGAAGGTGATGTCACGTTGCACGGGACAATTCGTTGCGACATTGTTGCGATATTGCTTCCAATGGTTACAACATTGTTCCAACATTACAAAGCTGTGTTGCGCTAGTGTTAATCGTTGTTGCGAATTTTCCCGTGTAACATGACTGTCATTGAATTACGCTTGTTTAAAAATGGCAAAAGCATGAAATTTTCACGATTTCTTCCCCTCTAGTTCCTATGATATATATTATTTACAGTTTCTTTCAACACCTGTTCTGTTTCAGACGTCCGTAACACTGTATATATATTTCAAATTTTTTTCTGAACTTTCATAAACGTACCTTGATCATGATGAAGGAGAAAAGTGAATACAAAAAGATAAATGAACGAATAAGTAAAAGTTCAGTCTGAAGGGATTAAAATGAATTACAAGATAAAAACTGCTCTCCTAACTAAAAATTGATATATCAATCTATAAAATCACTAACTGCGTGCTTTAAAACGGAGGGCGAATTGTTTCGGAGTTGGTCATAAACGCAGAATTTCACTTTCATGATCACCTCTACGATCTTCAACATAATAACCTTCCCAGAACAATAATCTTCAACACTGCCTTCACATTGCAGATAGAGACGTGATTCCTTTAGCTTTACTGTGATGTCACCCTTACTATAAACTTTATTTTATCAATACCGTCATTAATTAACCTCATCACCTTTATCACCCGATTGTCATCGTCTCATTTCCATAACTATTCATTTTGCAGAGGATGTTATCGTTATCTCGACCCATTTTAAATGCTTCTTTGCCATCCTCCTCTTATATCGTTCTTTTTAACTCAACAGTGCCCCCGACTGTTGGCGACGTTTATTTTAGACTTTGTTCGTGGATTTCTCTTGATTATTCCAACAATTTGTTATCGTCATGGAAGCAAACGCTATGAGCCAGCACTTTTGGGATGCATGATAGCTTTCCTGGTAATACACGCCTTGCTGGCGTTTATCACAGTCCTTGATTTAGCGTGTGAAGAGGCTGTCCCAGATTCAGAAGCAAAAGGTTGTGATTGGTTCGTCAGGTGAGAGTAATGTTAGGGTTGATTTCCAGTGTCGCGTAATTTTTACGTACGTACGTGCGTAAAATTTACGTTTGCAAATAAAATAGAAGCAATTCATAAAAGGTCGCTCGTAGGCGTAAAAGTTGAAGTTGACGTTTTCAGGCCCGTAGCTAGGATTTTTTTACGGGTGAGTGCGATTCTTCGAGGAGACGGTGCAAACGAGGCTGGAGGCGCACTAAGGGGAAAAATTGGGATCTCGGAGATTGCATTACAAACATGGACATTTCTTAATTTTTTGGAACTTCAAATTGATTTTTTTGGCTTTTTTTGCAAAGAGACTACTTTCTTTTACAATTTTTGAGAATGGCAGATGTCAATGTCACTGTTTAGAAAGAAAAAAAAAATAGGAAGAAAGTTTTAAATCCGTATAATTCGCTAGTTTGGCTGCTGATCATCACGATCTTTTAGTAGTGTCCCAAACTCAAACCTCCTTGGTTGCTTTTTAGGAGGGTCTGAATGGGGAAGGTAGGGGGGGGGTCCACTTGTCGGTTGTCGGTTAAAATTCAGTTATTTTGTCGGTAGTCGGTTCAAATTTTCCATCTTTGTCGCTTGTCGGTAAATCTCAGTTAATAGGTAACATTAATATTTGCCATATACTTTACCCACTTTCAAGACTTTGATCCCTATTAAACGTGAAAAAGTGTAAAAATGCATCATTTGATTGACCTTATACTTCATTAACTCTGGTTTGTTTATGCACCACGATGCATTCTAAAGGGCGCGGTAACATCTGTACCTGTTCGGTCATCCTAGGGGAACTTGAGTCTTTTCGAAATAACAAGGGCTTCAGTATTATTTTGCAGAAAATTGTAGATGCAATTTAACGTATTACGAAAGTGAGAATTTTTCTGATTCCTCTACCCATCACATTTTTTAATTATCTGAAAATGTTAGGTTTCCTTTTTGTACGAAAAACCTGGGAAGTGAAATGTAGAGAATTAAACTTCAGAAAATCGTAAGGAAATAATTAGATAAACTTCGAAAATTGCACATGAATGGAACAGGCATCTATAAATTTTTAAGGCTTCCTCAAGCAATAGAAAATTGTAGGCAGCATTTGCTTCTCCGAACAGATATTATATTTTACAGAGAACAGTCGTTGGGTGGCACTGATCAAGGATAGCTTATTCGTTGAATTTTGTGCCTTTGCAGGAGCACCAAACGGCAATTTTCGGGAAAATATCTGTTCGGAAGACGATTTGAGATCTAGAATTTTCGGAGCATTTGTTGTAAAATTTCTTGCTTGCCTGCCTCTCCCAGGATTTTCGAACATCTACAAAATGGTATAATTACCCATTTTTAACGGATTTTGACCCTAAAAAAGGCCACCTAAAATTTTTCGGGAGCCTCTTCCTGGCTGAAATTTTCGAGAAGGAAAATTTTTATCCCTATAATTTTCGGATCACTAGACTTTCAGCTAGGAAATCCGAATAGATGAAAAGTTTCTAGGGGATAAAAATATGCCTATATCTACCGTTTGAAAATACGTTCAACAATGCTATGTTAAGTGGTTTTGAACTATATCCTCGTTGGGTGCCCCTGCCTTTGTACACAACTGTGCCTCAAAACATTGTCTCAGTGAATTTCGGTGGTGAATTTAATAGTAGGGTAATGTAAGTTTGCTTGTAGAAAGAAGGAAGGAAGAAAGCTACGATGTCTGGTTTACTTATGTCCCACTGCGAAAAAAGGTTATCCATGTAGTGTTTCCAAACAGTTGGTTTAAAGTCGATTTTGCTTCGACGTTGTGTTTCAATATATGCCATGAAAATGTTGGCAAAGGAAACTGCTGTCTTTGTGCCCATCGTGGTACTGTGGGTTTGTAGATGGAGCTTTCCACTGAACTGGAAAGAATTTTCTTTGAGGATTAATCTAAGTATTTCTCGCAGGTAATTAACGTGAATGAATGAGTGGGTTGTTTTGTAAAAATTTTCATACGCTCTGCAAACTATTCAATACCTCTTTTGGTGGTATATTTGTAAAAAGACTTGTAACGTCCATCGAAACAAGAAATGTTCGGTTTTTCACCTTTGTCTTTCAATAAAATTTAAATCGGTGGTATCGTTGTGGTTACTTACCAAAAACGTAGAAAAAATACAATTATGATGCCCTGCTCTCTGAAAAAATATAGATAATGTCGGTCCATGTCGGTAGTCGGTTAATATTTTTCCTGTCGGTAGTCGGTAATTTTTTTCGCGTTTTGTCGGTAGTCGGTAATATTTTTCGCCCTTTGTCGGTTAACCCCATTCACACCCACTCTTAGCAAACATATCAGGGACTTCTTTTAGAACACTCTGTCTGTTAGATAATAGATGTAGATAAGAGCCAAGTGAAGAGGGCCTCCCTTGTAGGGTAATATTGGCAAAAGGAGGAATGATAACATGTATCCCGTCGTAAGACTTGCATAATTATAATACACTCGAAAAGGCTTGGAGTTGCACTGATGCAAGCAACACTCTGGACCGATTGACAGTGGAACGTTTTACAAGAGTAGGGTAGCTTTAATAGGACGGCTACAATATCGTCGAGCAGCGCTAAAGAGCTGGGACCAGCATGCCAGATATCCTATTCACTATTAAAACAAACCCTAAGCCGCTAAATAAATAAATAAATAAATAAATAAATAAATAAATAATATCACCGAGACATTGTTTTAAATTGTTCATCAACCAAAAAAGTGGGCCTCTGTGGCCTGTGTGTATGTATGTGTGTGTGTGTGTGTGTGTGTGTGTGTGTGTGTGTGAGTGGGGGGGGAGCGCACCGGTCGCACCCCCCTCTCTACAGGCCTGGGGTTTTCAACTTCTCGTTTAAGCTCAGCACTTTTTATCTTGCCTCTATTTTATTTACGTGATTAAAATTTACGTGCCTTGATGTGCGTATCCAAAAACGCGTCAGTGGAAATCGACCTTTACTGTAAAAGACGACTTTTTTGTTCTATTCGATATTCAACTTGGTATTATAGTTTTTCCCAGCTGTCGCGAGTTTTAGATGGCTTTTCCTTCCTCAGAGTCATAATGACAAACACTGATCAGTTGAGGAATTGCCTTTGTAGGTTCTCAATGTTAAGGGGGGTATGTTAATTTTCTTAGTGGTTCCAGGGATTATTATGATTATTAGCATTTATTACCCCCATTATTATTATTATTATTATTATTATTATTATTATTAATATTTACCGCTAGAAAGATCTTCCCCATCATTTGAAAGACCTCCCAAATTTCTCCTTCCCACGGAGATCATTAGACAATATTGAAGTTGACAATATTCTCTCTTTTCTCCATTTAGTGTATAGTGTGTGTGTTATGTACTTACTTATTTTATTGTTTTTTCCTTGCTTATTTTTTACCTGTCACCGAGGTGTTAAAAGTATCATTTTATGGCTACAAGCTAGCATGAAAACGTTTGCTATTTAGCTCCTAGACATCCTTTTATCATAACGTATCATAACGTTGAAAAATGTAAAATTCACTCCAGTTGGATGTAATAATAAAGGTTGTTATTGTTGTACTTTTTTATTTTCATCAGCATCATTTATTTATTTTTATTTTTTTATTATTTATTTTATTATATGTTTTTTTGGGGGGGTAGGGGTGGAGCTGTAGGGTCGAAATTTAAGCTCACAGTATTATACATCTTTATGGCAAAAGAAACCATCCAAACTTGGCTCTTTTCAGGTGGCTCACTGCGCATATTCCTTTCGTCTACAATGTGAGATTGTTATTCTCCAAGGACAACCATGGATCTATTCCGCCAGCAGTCCTGTTACTCAGTGATGGTGGTCATTACGAAAATCTCGCTATCTTGCCACTGTTGCAGAGAAAACTAAAGAAAATTGTTGTCGTCGACGGAGGTTATAAAGAAAATGAAGAGGACTACGGAAAGAGCATTTTAGATGCATTGATGCTTGCTCGTACCGAGCTGAACTGCTCATTTTATGTTGAAGACGGTAAAGATCTCATTTCAGACTTGATACGGACGTTTGTGAACCCTTCAAAGCGGATAAAATCACGTTATTACAAGTACGTATTCTTCACTTAATTTTCAGGAATGATACTCTTTTGGCATGGTAAAGTGGAGCGAGTCGCTCCAATAATCCAGTGTACAAATTGAAATAGGTTTCTTTTTACGTCTTGTGCTTTGATCACTCGATAACGTTTCCACTAGGTATTTTTTCAGACATGATGAAAAAAGATGGTCGCAAGCCGGTGGTTTGGAAACGTTACTTTAATTTTGCATACTTTTAAAATACAATTCAATCACGTACCTCTTGATTAAGAGCACACAATAACTTAATTTCATTTTTTTGAATCAGTTCAGTTCGATCATGTTCGTTATGAAATATACTTGTTTAAAATGGCCATTAACAAACCAGAGTTAACTCGCAGTCTACAAATGATTTTAAACAGATTTAAAGTCCACTACGATGAAGAGAATAATAGTGAGCCGGAACGCGATGGAGAAATCATCCTTCTGGTTCCAAGGAAACCCGAGGATATTCGGAGCAAAGAAGAAAAGCGACGAATTAACTTGGTGCTGCTGCGAGTGTTGTCATAGCAAATCATGTTTATGTGCTTGTTTGTCCAAGTGCCTTTGTAATGCGTTCCCGCAACACAGCACGGCCAACCAGTTCTTCACACCCCGAATGTTCCAGGCTTATCACGAGGAGGGAAGCAGGGCCTGCGAAGACGCTAAAGCTGATGTGTTTTTGCAAACTGTTTCCTCGGTGGTTGATGTGAGAGACCGTTCGACAGAAGAACCAAATACAGTTGCTTCTCAACCGCTAAGAGGCGACAGCTGTTCTGTGGATGAGAGAACTCAATTACTCGGAGACCACGACTGAAGTAAAGTTAAATAAGCCCTAGCACTTGCATGAGACTTTATAACTCTCCTACCCATACTATACAAAGACCCAAGTCACTCGCCGAGCAAAGATCCAGGGCGCGTGATCAAAGTTTAGATTTTAAGAGATCATTGCATGCACATTAAGATGAATAAAAAAAACTACTTTGCCATGTACTGCAGAAATACTGGACAGAATCCCATAGAATTGCAGTGAGGTAGAATAATACCAACAGACTCAAGAATAGGTTCTAGAAATTGGACTTTTGCGTTTGCGCCAGTATTGCACATCATGACCTGTTTGTATAATCTTAGCTTAACGTCGAAAAAACTGCGATTTAAGGTGGCTGAACACAGTTTTGAGGGCAGTCAGCGGTAACTCGCGTGACGGCGCGTGTTTTAAATTAGACAAACAAACATGGCGGCGAAAAAAGCAATGGTACACAGAAGACGATTTCTCAAAATCTACTCATTAAAATTTTGTGATATTTGGCAGAATTTTTACTTTTCTCGTATTTTAAATAATGAGAACTTTAAAATGGAAGTTAAACAGACGAATTTTATGACACATTTAATAATTACAATACAATTATATTATTGATTATCTAAAATGGTAATGATTAATTATAGTAAGCTGCCTGCAAGTTTATAGGAAAATCTAATTAGCGAATTTTATGTAAACTGAGCGAAAGTGAAATTTTAAGGTTGTATTCAAGCATTCATGTTGCCATGGAAACAACCGGCGGAGAACGTCACATTTTACCTGTCAATAAAAATCTTTCATCAGTATATTTTTCACTTGCCAAGTTTCAGCTTGTGAGCTGCAACCTTTCTCTTGCTATGATTTAGCAAATGACATGTACTAAAAAACTGCCAAAACTGTGTTCAGCCACCTTAAACTGTTTGTTATTCGCAGACTCTTTCTGTTTCGACCAAATCAAACGTAAAACAGGATTCGCAAAACTCCAAGACCATTTTCTCGGAGGTGATAGCGCAGTGAGTTCAAAAGGTTATTAATGATTTTTTTTTTGCAGTAAGAGTTTAGTTCTAGATATCTTACAGTCTAAAAAAGACATCGAAGTCTTCTATCTCATTAATCATTTATTATATCCAAATTGCTGTCGTGAAAACTTGAAGCCACTTACCTCTCTCACCGAAGCTTTTTGACCTGATCAATTTTTTTAAACCACCTTTTATATTGGCTGGCTCTCCAGCCGTTTGAGTGGTCTGGTTTCAATCCTTCCCCAAAGAATAACGCAGGCGGACAAGAGGGCTTGTTATCTAGCATCTAGTGATGGTTGTTAAATGTAACCGCCCGTGAGGTTACTTTTGCAAGCCTCAAGTTAGAATCATTTAGTTGTTTTGTCCTCGCCTCAGCCGAGAGCTTTTATGCTAGCTCATGTATTACAAACATAATATATTGATTGAATAAACTGGTCTTATTTTTGTTAGAAAAACCTTATCCATTTTTCATCATTTTACAACTTAAGCATCGAATGGAATAGTTGAATGCTAATAATATCCCAACTTAGTTGTCTTGTCCTGATGACACCTTCTTGTAGTTCTAGTTCCGTTAGCCTCGGCACTTTAATAATGCCCGGAGCTGGTTTAAGGCCTTACTGCTCTTTTCAAAAACACGCGAACTCTGAAGTTCAAAAGCCAACGTTTTTCGCTGCTGTCAATCATCACCTCTTGGGAAACAGGACTTTACTTAAACGGGTTCAAAAGGTCATGATTTGTGATCTGTGATTGGTTGATTTCGATCCTTTTTGTGTGTTTCTGTGTTTCAAGGTTCGTTGCTTGTGATCGTAATTATGATTGACGGCAGAAAAAATGCAATTGTGAAAGCGGCTTTTGAACTTTAGAGTTCGCGTGTTTGTGAAAAGCGCAGTGAGATAATAGCGACCGCTTTTTTGCCAAGAACAAAAACAGGAGCCCTGACAAAAATCAACCCTTTACCAACCCGTTTCCGTTATGACCCTGGCCTGACATGTACCACCGCACGCAGTTATGCCGTCAACTCTCGTTAATGCCGAGACCCTTAGGACCGCTTCTGGCCTTTAAGCCCCAGTATCCAAATTCTCCAGACTGATCTCCATACATTCTCTTGAGGACTTAGTTGAGAGAAGTTGATAAAAGATCAAAGCAGTTTCCTTCTTGTCACAAGAGATCTGGGTAAGAGATTACTGGAGACTATATATTTATTTTAAAGATTGCGCATTATTAAAACCCGATGACTGCTACATGTAATCACTAAAAACAGGTCACTGCTGTGGTGGTTATAATGACTGATATTATGTGACATGCATGTGCTTTTTAATTTCACCTAAAATATTAAACTCAGCATATAATCAACCCATTTACATCAAGTCGACATGATTCACCCATTCATACTAAAATATGTAAATACTTAAAAAATTACGCTAAACATCGGCGTTAGCTTATTTACATCAATACAAATAATTCAATTCAAAATCTAGCACAAAGTATCCCTCGTATCAAAGAATTCAATGTTGGAAATGACAGCAATGATATCTCGCTGCAGTTATTATCACGTGTTTGATTATCACGAAACATGCGCCCGTAGGCTATGATGAGGTGAGGTTAACGATTGCAGTTGTCACGTGGTGACATACCAGCGTGACATTAGAGCTGGTACCAGACTGAACAGAGTCTCCTTTTACTTTTGCAGCATTTCCAGCCAAGTCTGGAAAAGTTTTTAAGTCGAACATAAGGACCCCATAGGTATTGATACAAATTATCAGCACTGTCACAGCTGGGAGATTCATTATGATAACAATTTTTCCGGACGAAAGAAAAGAGTCGTATTTGAATCGTTTCTCAAATACACTACTCCGTCACATAGTTGTGTTTCGGCGTAAACCTTCAAAGAGCTACAGTTCTTGTGATTTAAAGGCAGATCTTCCATATACCAATAAACATAGTAACAGATAGATAGTAATTACAGTATTAAAGTATTAAAGGGATTGAAATAATGGAGAAGTTATAAAAAGGATTGTGTATTAAAGGGATTGTTTTATATCGAAGCACTTAGTTATGCCACAAAAATGTCACGCTAAACACTGGTGTTAGCTTATTTACATCAGTACAAATCATTAAATTTACAATCTAGCGGGAACAAACAAGCGATATTGTCCTTTCTCAAAATACAAAATTACCAAAAGTACCCATCATTTCAAATACTGAACTCAATAATGCAAGTGGCACCAATGATATTTCCGTGTGTTCATCGCTGCAATTACTATCACGTGTTTGATTATCACGAAACATGCGTGCGCAGGCTATGATGAGGTGAGATTAGCGATTGCAGTTGTCACGTTGCGACATACAAGCGTGACATTGGAGCTGGTACCAGAGCCTCCTCCAGCTTTCGCAGCATTTCCAGCCAAGTCTGGAAAAGTTTTTAAGTCGAACATAGGAACCCCATAGGTATTGACACAAATTATCAGCACTGTCACGGCTAGGAAATTTATTACAATACCAGCTTTTGCCTGACGAAAGAAAAGAGTCGTATTTGAATCGTTTCTCAGTTGACTTTGCGACTGGGCCAGTTTTCATTAGAGTGTATTTTAATTTTACCTTTTGCTTTGGTGAGATTTTTTATTAACCTGGCCAATAACAGCAAGCACAGACAATTCATACGCAATGAACCAATCAAATGGCTAGGAGGTGCTAAGGGGAGGAAAACGTGACGTGCATACAAATTATGATTTGCTTTGGCTGGATTTCTGATTGGTTAACGCCATGGTGTGATTCTTTTAGCAGCCAGTCACAAAACATTCCAATGCAAAAGCAAAGGAGCCACGATAGTAACTAGGAATTCAATAAACTAATGACAAAGACAGTGAAGCAAACACCATCATAAAGTTCCAAAGAATGGGACCTTTAAGAAAGACCATCCCAAGAACCATTGGCTTTATTTTCGTGTAAGCTGTAATGGATTAAGGCGACACCAAATCAATTATTTTAATGAGTAGTCAATAGAAAACCTCCTTGATTGCAATCTATACATACCATGTCCTTGACTTTGAGGTGTCCATCAGCAAATATAATTGCATTTGGTGGAGTAGCGACGCGCAACATGGAAGTGAATGAACAAGAGATGGCAGCAGGAAGCATGAGGTACCAAGGATGGACATTGATTTCCTCTCCCTGAATAAAAGATACATAAAAAATCAGTGTTTCTGTTTCTGCATATTCAGGACAAACCTTATAAAACAAGCGACAAACTCAGGCACCAACCCAACCTCGTCCCCAGGGCGCTTTTCCCTGGCTTTGGACCCCACCTCCAAAGCCAGGGAAAAGCACCCTGGGGACAAGGTTGGCACCAACCCCAGAGCTGACTGAGCTGACTGACTGAGCGGTTAGTAGCTTTTGCACATAGCCATAACACAGGGGCAGTGTCAGCCCACCCTCTGCTCATTAGAATGGCATAGCAGTCAGATCCAAAGTCAGGTGCCAAGGCGAGTTAAAAGCACCCCATTAGACGCAGACTCCACATAACATTTCTTACTACGTACAGCTCTCCTCAGTGGACACTTCTGCTGGTTGCACAGAGGCCCGCTTAGGGGAGGTTCTAGCTCACCACTGAGCACACATCTAGAACCCCTCTATCAAAAATCCCTGCATCGGTCCCTGTAAAAGTCTCCTAATAAAGCATCCACTTCATTTATCACCACAAAAAGACAAATGGATAAGAAATGATACCTGCAAAGAGCTTGAAAATTGTAAAAAACTCAGCCCTTCATCAGGTTGTTGAACATCAAAAAATACCCTTGATATTAATAACATTTTATTTCTTCCATGGCCATTTAATTTCATGCACCCGCGGTAGCAGTGGACACGTAGAAAAAATTACAACAGTAAACAATGGAAATTTTACAAAGAAATGTGGGATAAGTTAAATAATTTGCGATTCAGCATGTCGTGTGATATACCTGACCACTAGCAGATGAAAAAATAACAGATTCCCATTTTTGGATATTTTAGGGTATTTAAAGAATACCCATAAAAATCCCAAAATTGGCAAAGTGAGACAAGTCCCAACAACGGAATTCCCAACCAAGTTCCCTGATTGGGACTTGTCTCACTCTTCCAGTTTGGGATTTTTGTGGGTATTCTTTAAATACCCTAAAATATCCAAAAATGGGAATCTGTTATTTTTTCCTGTGTAGGACGCGATTGATACTGAAAGGTTGACTTATTTAGATCTTAGTTTTGACAAACTTAAACTCCATCTTCAATTAATCTCGAGCTTCCCAGAATGGAAATAAAAATACGAAAAAACAACCTGCTTCTTGCATACGATTATATTGCAAATGGAGCACTGCCGCCTTGATTAACCTCTTCTTTTTAGTAATTAATGACAATTCCGCTGGGAAACTACCTTACGTTCCGTTTAAAACTTCAAGTACAAAGGTCTTATCTTTCTCACGTAGTTTTTTTGTCCACTGAAAAAGCATATTCTTCGTAAATCCAAGACCTTCGCTCTACAGTATCTTGGCCAAAAATCATCTCAATTGTCTCCAAAACCTCTTGTTCGAAAGCTTGTTTCTTTGAGTTTTCGTCGCCATTTTTTGGTTGTGGCGATATTTTTGATCAGCGGCTTTTATGTGACCATAGACAACTATGTATTTGACCACTCGAACTTTCCGAACATTATGAGCCCAAAAACCAGCGGTTAAAACCATTGCGAAACAATCTGAATGTGACGCGCGAAGTTTGACGTGCGAGATTTCTGGACATGCGAGTAAAACAGTTTGTCTCCTTTTCGCTATTTCATTTCCATTTAACGAATATTCTTGTTGAGTTCAGAGTAAGAAGAAGTCACGAATAAGCTAAAAGACAAACTCACAAGCGATGTCAGTATTGGAAGAAAGATGGTGGCTGTAGCTGTGTTGGAGGTGACCTCAGTGAATGTAGTAATCATTACACAGACGATAATGACGATTGCATAGCTTGGTATGGCATCAAGATAGGCTAATTGGGTTCTAACCCACTTGGATAAGCCAGACACCTGTCAGATAATTAAATCACGAGGTAAAACTACAAACAATTGAGAAACTTAACAGCGACAACAAAAATTTTTCTTTTCAGTTGCAAGCCTGTACTTGCAGGCATTTGAAAAAAACTGGGGAAAGGGGCAATATAGACAACATAGGACGCACGGGAACCTAGTTCCTTGTTCCTAATATCTGCACGGCTTTATGTCCCATCCCCCCACAGCTAAAAGTTGCTCGAAACGAACAAAGTTCCTTGAAATATGGGAAGTTGCCAAAAAGTTGCCGAGCAACTTGTGGAAAGCCCTACTTTTGACCAATAGGATGAGCCTGCAAAAGAGAAGTTTAAACAAGTCATATATTAGAACAGTTGCGCGTCTACCTACAATTGCGCTCTTTACAGGTCGACGTGGTGTGAA